TGAATAAATTCACCCAAATCAAACATTCATCCAAAATACTCTACCAGATCATCGATTTGTGCAAAATCCCCAATGCCTGCTTCCTGTTTGCAGCTCGGTCCCAACTATCAATCTGTTCTTATCAGATGCTGATTCATGCATCCTCAACTTGAGGACTAATGCTGACTGCACTGCTGCTGCTGAGAGACAGCAGGGTGCTCACCATGCCCATTCCATCGCTGACCTGGCCCGGCAGCATTCCTGAAGGGCCCCAGCACCTGAAGCCATCCCAGCCCCAGGGCTCACACCTGGATTTCCAGCAGGGGATGTCCGGGTTCTGGTCACAGCTGGGCCGAGCAAACGGCATGGGTGTGAATAGCCCATCTGTAAACCAGTCCTGCTGGGGCTGGGGGAGGGAAATGCCTTCTGGGGATTGCTTAAGCCGGTTGTGAAAATCATCTAATTGTACCCTGCCACCAAAAGAGACAGTCCCACCCCTTCCTCTGTCCTCTCCCTCGTTTCAGTTCTAGAGATCGCAGCTCGTTTTCTGATGAGTTAGTTTTTTTCATCAGATCAGGGCTGATCTGACTCACCTTATAATTACCAGGCATTACGCAGAGCAGCAGGCCACGGAACTGGGAATGAGAGGAAGGCTCTCCCCGTGGGGCACTGCTCCACACCAGCCCGAGCTCAGAGCGAGACCACATGGCACAGCTGCCACCCTGCTGGGAGCAGCCCCATGCTGCTGCCCCACCACCGCTCTGTGGGGCCACATCAACTGGATGAGGAAACCCATGAGCAATCTGAAGACAGAGCACAGAGGCTGCTAGCAGGGCTGAAGGTCAGCTCTGTCTGGCTATGAGCCCTGTGCTCTGAGCCACCTTCTCCTTGTCTCTGAAACCTGACAACTGCACACTCATGACTTGGTTTTAAAACCTTCAGGCTTAGCAGACAGAGATGAGACAGAACTGCATGCAAATCCTTCCTAAACACCATGCTAGCACCAGCGACATTTACCTGCCTGAATGTGAGCCTGCAGATATGCATTTGAGTCACACAGAATTGCTGGGGATACTATGGAGCCTCTCATGGCTAACTGGAGAGAGCCAAGCTCCTCTAGCTGTGTCCCTGTCAGCCCCAGGGCTGCAGCACCTCACAGGGAATGCACTGCTGCAGGAGAACCCAGCGCAGTCTCAAACTGCAAATCATTCCAGAGCTGAATGTTCAGGAAGGCTCTGTCTGCCAGAACTACTGCGAGTGCTTTTAATTAAGAACACACACACAGAAACGGGTTAAGAAGAACATGAAGTTTGAGGGAGAACTGGAAGGAAGGCAGACTCCTGGTCAAGCTGTCCACATCCCAAATACACATCCCATCGGGCCATGCACTGCATGTGTGCAAAGAAGCACCCCACGTGGGCAAAATGGCCAAAATGAAGACAAATCATAGCATTACTTTCAGGCTGATGTCATCAAATACATCACCTTTTTTTTCCCTCCTTTAAGAGGTCTCTTTTCACCTACCTTCACCATTTACTTGTGAATTCCTCTTTTTGTTACTCCCAGTTCTGCCATGTATTTGTCTGTTCTTTGCAAAATTATCAGGAGCCATTTACTTACAATAATGAAGATCAAAAGTCCCAGCACCCTTACAGAAGCTTTTGTTCCCGAAGAAAACCATGTACATCCATGAGCATGTGAACAATGAATTATTTATCTGAAGAGAGACGGGATCCTATGATCACTCTCCGGCTGCACGAAGCTGCTAAGTGTTCCAGAGGCTGGGTTGCTCTGATCGTTTCATCTGGAGTAAGCTCAAAAGAAACAAGAAGTGCACTCCCTGTGAGTCGTCACTTCAGGCCACATCCAAGCTTATAACTGAGCCTCTAAGGCCTGCTTATTTTCCCTTTTTCAGTAAGAGGACTAAAAATAAGATCAAATGGGGTGATTTCTGAAGTCAGGAAGTACAAGCATAACATTTGTGATGCTGCTTTTCCCACTGCGCCATGGAGATTCGGTCACGCTAACAGCATTACAAGTTCCTAGAACTGGATCCTGGTCGGCAAGACAGGCTCTAACATTACAAGATCAAGGAGAAAGAACAAAAAAAAGGAACTTCTGAAGTATGTCTGTGAAAGATCCCTTTAGAAATTCCCAACGCTCGCTCCGTCTCTTCTTTTGTACTGGAACAAAAACAGCATAAACTCACTACCCTACACCGTGCTACCTGGAAGCATGCATTTATTCACACCTCATTTATGCTACCTCATCTATTACTCAGTGCAATGAAAGTTATAACAGCCCAGAGATCATTGTCCACTGAGGACAGAAGTGCTGGTGCCAGCACTGCACTGAGGATGTGCAGCAGGCAGCCAGGCCCAGCCTAACGCCCCAGGTTTCTTGGAGGGACTCCTAGGGACAGGCCCAGTGTGCCTAAATGCCACAGGACTTTACTGCCTTCAGGTAGAAGGGAAGGTGAAACTTCACCCAGCTTCAATACACCAGAAGCACAGTCCTGGAGATCTGGAGGTGCCGTTGTGACGTTCTGCCACTGTCACACTGTAATAAAGCAGTGCTTCATAGAGCTAAAGTCAATAAAACCACAGATTACTATCAACGTCCACGACAAAAGTCCCATCAACGAGCTGCTCCAAGCAGACAAAAGGACTGGGAAATATGGGCTGTGGGGTTTAATTACACAGCACTGTATTTGACAGAAATAGGAGAATGAATTAAAAACATCTCAGATGCTTTGTTCTCCACAGCCACGTCCTGTATTGAGTAAAGAAATCAGACATGGGGTTTCAGCAACAAGAAAACAACTGAAAAAAAAATGCAGATTCTTTCTTTCCTTACTCCACACAGCCCAGGGGCCTACGAGCTGACTTTTCCATCAGCTGAAAACGTAGTGATACCATCACACAACGTACTCCCATCTCACTTTTTCAGATCGTTATGCAAGACTATCTGTTCCCAGCCCTGGAACCACTCAGGCCACATCACTCGGTGTGATACCTGCCCTGCTCCCCAGCACCTGTGGGGTCAGCGACCCCAGCACCCCATGGGCAGGCTGTGTCACAGCCTGACTTTTCTTGTGGAGAAGAAAACCATTCTTTGCATTTTTGTTAGCTATCAGCTAACAGCAACCTGGAGGAGGCATTATGTACTGCTGAGCTCCTGCAGGGCTCACAGAGCGTTCCTGCCTCAGTTCCACCTCAGGCAGCCGAAGTCCACGCCGAGCAGGGCTGTGCAGGAAGCACAGGGCTGTGTTTGCCTTTAGGGCGAGCAGAGCTCTCTCTGGCCGCGTCCTCAGCCGGAGCGCACGGCACTTTTTCACGCAGAGGAACAACAACTCGAAACACATCTGCCGCTCCACAAGCACCGTTTGTGGCTCCTGGCACGGAGCGGATCGAGCGTCGCTGCTGCGCTGCCGCCCTCAGAGCCGCTCTGCGCTGTCACTGCGGCGCAGCTCCAGGATCCCTTTCCCCAGCCCGGATAACGCCGGGCAGCAGCAGCAACGCCCGCTGCGCACCGGCAGCAGCGCTCCGCACACGGGAACAGAACGTCGGAACGCAGCTCTCACCCCCGCCCCACAGTCCGGCTCCGGTCCCTCAGCGCGGCCGCGCCGCCCCGCCGTTCCTTCAGGCCGCCCCCGGGCACGGAACGGCCGCCGGACGGCGAGGCCCCTGAGGGAGAGGCGGGGGGAGGAGCCCGGGGCACGGCCTGCGGGGCCTTCGCGGCCCTGAGAGGGGACCCTCGAGGGTCGGGGCCGGCGCTCGGCGCTTACCGGGCAGCCTCCTCCTCCTCCTCCTCCTCCTCCTCCTTCCCGCGTCTTCGCGGCGCGGCCCGACGTGAGGGGACGGGGTCGGGTCGGGCCGGGCCGGGCCGCGCGCGCCGCCGGCGGGAGGCGGAGGGGGCGCGGAGGGGCGCGCGCGGACGGCAGGGAGCCCCCCCCCCCACCTCGCCCCGTCCCGCCCCTCGCGGGCTGTGCCGCCGCACTGCGCGTGCGCCAGCCGTCCCACTCCGGAGCCAACCCGGGGCCGAGGAGGCGCGTGCGCCGTGGCGCCGCGCGCGCTCCGATTGGCGGGCTGCGCTCTGCTCGTGCCGCGCGGCACCTGAGGGAGCGGCCGTTCGCTGCCCGGTGCTGCAGCACAGCTTGGTTACCTTTACAGGGAAAGCGTTTCTTACGTGTTTATGGGATCAGGTTGCGATGAAGGTGTCGTTCCCCATCTTTCCGTGCTGGCAGGGGTTCCTCTGGAAAATGGAGGCACTGCTCAGCCCGGGTCTTTGTGAAGGGGGAGAGCGGCTGGGTGTGAGGGGAGAGCTGAGGCAGGGCAGGCTGAGCAGAGGCCCGGTCAGGAGGCAGCCCTGAGTATCCTGATCTGCTGCAGTGCAAGTCTGCTAGGTCAGCATGAGCCATTTTACAGAAGGATTCCGCATTGAAGCTCTAAGAAAGCAAATCCGAAGCTATATTATACAGATCCACAGTGGGGAAGAAGTGTTAGTAATGCCCATCGAGTTCCCTTGGGAGAGCCTGATTTAAATAAGTGATTCCATTCGCACCTCGATTGCTACAAAACGCTCATTTAATGCAATATTTAGCGAGGCCAAAGCTGACTTCATAGTAAATATCAGTGATGGAAAACTGTGAGGTGTGAGGCTGGCTGCATCAGTAAATAATCCTGGTAAGGGATTAAAGGGATTAAATACCTGATAATGTTAATTACATACCTGCTAACGCATTTTACCCAGCTACTTCCCTGCCTTTCCCTGCCCTTCCCTGCCTTTCGTGCTGTTCCTGTATATTGCAGTTGCTTTAATTCAGCAATGGCCTTCTGCTAGCCTGTACATTTCACTGAAGTCATACAGCTTTTACCTTGTAAAACATGCAGTAGCTCTAATTTGGAAGCAGTAGGAGTGGTCACTTCCAGACCTTTGGCAATCTCAGTCAAACACAATTCACACACTGAGTTTAATGTAGGCCCGGTTCTTAATTAAATAAGACCCAAAGAACCCTGACAAACAGATACAGGAGATTTTATTTAACACTGTGTACAAAGAAAGGCTACAAATGCCTTAGACTTTTTCCCCCCAATACAGTTTTTGTATCCCTTTCATACCACTTATCTCAGAAAATTAAAAAAAAGAAAATCCTGAATGATTATTTTCCCCCTTTTTGCCATTTTTCATCACATGTGCCTAAACTGAGAGATATTCAGTCGTTTCAACACCTTTCAGTAGTAAGCTCTTAGGGTTGGTTTTCTTTGCAAAAACAGAGCACTGAGATACCGAAGCACTGACAACAGCAGTATGAAACGTCACAACCAGCCTCTGTAACACGGTGAAGTTACAACAACTCCAGCAGTATTAATTCTGAAGAAACCCCAAATTATCCAAACAGTAACAAGTTGTTTTTTCTTCTACGCCTGATAAATTATCACTAATTATATAATTTAATTGTATTTATATTTAGTCTTATGACCTCCTTTCACTGGCATTCTTCATGGAATATAAACACGTGTAATAGAGATAAGAACTATATAACCAATATAGGCAAGAGAAGGCTTTGTTTTGCTCCCATTGCTTTTTGCTAGACAGACACAGGAAGGACAACACGTCACATGTGTCCTTCCATGAGATCATACTTAACTTCACCCGACCACTGTGCTGCTCTTTGTCATCCAGCATTAATTCTTCACCCTCTTTTTGCTGCCTTGGATAGTACCTAGTCACTTTTAGCACTGATATCCCATCTCTGTAAAAGATCTGTCCTTGTGTATCCAGGATTCCAAATTACTGTGACTTGCAGAAGTTTTTGTATGTTGCTGTGGAGCTCAAGACAAGATTTCTCCTAGGCTGTGAGAAGCAATGAGGAAGAGATCAGAGTGGATGCATTAGAAGAGGCTGTTGTGAAGAACCTTTCTGCTATGTCAGCAGTCAGCATTTTCATTATGTTACTGTTGTATTTGAAGGAGTTTTAATATTCAGATCAGTTTTCAGCTATTTCCATAATCCCATAATGGTTATGGAAGTCCTCTCCCAAAACATGACTAAAATGGAAGAAATTTGAGCTTGCCTATTTATATTGGCGGTTGATAATTCAATTAGGCACTATAAAAAGATGGGTCTGACCCCATAATTGCTTTCTGGGCTTTGCCTCACCAGGGAAAACGTGAGCCTCTAAGGAGCAAAGCCATCTGCTCACTGGTGGGCTCTTCCCATTGTGGTTCTTTGGCCATCTGTGGGAAGCAGCTATGTTCTCTTTCCAGGCAGGAAGCTGTTTTGTATACAAGCATGCTCTTCCACACATCCACAGGGATATAAACTGGTCCTGCAATAGAAATCACTCTGCAGATAAATGGTTGATCTGTAGAATGCCTTGAAATCTCAGAACATCTTGTCACTGCAATAATTACACAAACACAAGCCCTAGCAAAAAATCCAAGAAGAATTCTCCGTTCTGATGAATCATTTCAATGAGATGATTTGAACATGACTGCAATTAAGGCAGAGCAGTAAAACAAATATTTTTTCTAGGCTTGGGCACTCTGTGATCATATTCATTCCCAAGTATGCTTGAGCAGACAAAAAAATAGAATATATCTTACTTGCAAAACAAGCCTGCACAAGCCTGGAGCATTAACACTACCTGGTCCACTCTGTACCAGAAAGCTGGAAATATTCCAGCCATCTCCAGGAATAGCCCTGCTATAAACTCATTTCTACAGTATAGGATGATGTGGTTTCTGATAAAAAAGGGGAGGGTCTCTTACTGAAAGAGGAAACGTGACAGTAGAAAGTAAAATGATGTGGCATGTATTTGCACAGGTCACTGCATGCTTTTACAGTGGTGTCCTCCAATTCTACTATAGAGTGGCAGAATCAACAGTGGAGGCCCTTGAACAGTTTTCTCGTTCTTGCATTAGCACGTTTGCTTGACCCAGGCCTAAATCTAGCACCTGCTCCTGGCAGGAGAACCGAGATAATCCATACGCTCCTTTTGCCTCGGCCTTACTGTTTGCACCATTCAATCACTGCAGGGAGTTGTGGTATTCTATCCTTGCAGCTCAGAAGCAGCCTCTTCCAGCTTCAGCTGTGTTCTAACCTCCTGGTTCCATTTTTCTTTGCAGTAGCGTTTCACCTTTGGTTTAACACAGACTGGTGCTCTGTTGCCATGGAGGAAAAAAAATGTACAGAGCATGTGATAAGCTTTGCTTTCTTGGCACTGAACTGTGAAGATTCAGTAGTGAGAAAGAGGGCTGCAGCACATCAGAAGGGAGGCTGCAGCAGCTGAATTCCTGGCATTCCTAAATTTATGTTTATTTACTGACAAGGCAGTCAGTAAATGAGGCCACAGGTCTTCTTCTGTAACTTGAAAGGAGAGCTTCTGCTTTGTACAGTTCCAGATCATCTTATCAGAGTGATTCCTAATTGTTTTTTGGTTGTTTTTTTTTTTTTTTTCAATTTATGTCATCTTTCTTCCCTAAGACTTTGGTAAGAAATAATAATTAGCTGTGAGTACCTCCTTCTATCAGCAGTCCTTTCTTGATTTTAAGGAAGATCCACATACTTTCATCTACCCAGTGAAAACTTCCATGGAACGCACACAGGTATCCATTTAATTCTGGCTGTGAATGGAAGATTGCTGATATTAATTGTAAGGCTCGGTGATCTCAGCTGCAAGAACCCCGTGTTAAAGGAAGTGGATGGTATCTGATTTTTCAGGCAGCACTACAAAGGGACGTTAGCAAAGCTTCCAAAGCAAAACGTACCTGGACTAAACAAAAACCTAAGGAGGAACAAGTAAGTGACTGACTTGCCAACTACTCCAAATTTTGATTATTCTGAACATACTTCCTTCCTTTTTCAGATTTTTCTGTAAGGAACAGAAGCAAATCCCTCAAATCCAGCGTGAATGTGTTGGTCTTCTATTACTGCAAGTTTCTCTCTTTTTGAATTGAAGAGAGAAAGAGTGGGAAATGTTTTCCACTTCTTCCTAACATTGCCATGGTGGGAATGCCACATCTGACAGCACTGCCTCAGCAGAACAAGCCCTGAAAACAAAGGACTCAGCAACCAGTGAGGAACCAGAGAGGGTCGCTTTTTCCTCCATCAGATTTTCAGTATGTCTGAAAGCCGTGCTGGTCAATTTACATCCTGTGCATACTTCAAGAACGGTACAGTAAGAGAAATGAACAAGTTGCCATGCCTTCCAGTGTTACAGTGGGTGACAGGCAAGCTTAGAGCTCCACGTATGCTTTGCAGAACAGTACATCCATTTAAATAAACTCATATAAAAGTAACTCAATGGTGAGACACAATTTTAAACAGGTAAAATGAATAAGCTGTGGAAATACTGCAGCTTCCATCAAACACTCTGTGGTTCCACCACCTCGTGGCCAACGCAACACATTGCAGTTCTGCTTCATCTGCACGCTGACAGCCTTAGTATGAGCAATGGAAAGGTGGAATCAAGGCGAGCAGTTGGCATCAGCAAATACAGTCAGTGCACAGCTGTACTTTGCCCTTAGCTGGTATACAAAAAAATAGCAGCGTTAGAAGCCTGCAATCGCTTGGCTGCACCTCAACTTGCTTAAAGTTGTGCAAGGATAAAGAACACCAGCAGCATTTCAACGGATGTGTTTCAGTTTAATTTCAACACCCTCCCACGAAAAGCACACACAAAACAAAGCTCAGAATGATGTAGCACTATTTTCTTCTTGCCCATCATTAAAACCTTTTCCCTTATTTTGCTTTACTTTTTAATTAAAAAAAAAAAACAAAAACAAAAACTGACCACTGTTTTTGTTTTTGTTTTTTAAAAGAGAATTTTAGAATAGTTTCTAACTGTCAAGAAACCTATGCTTCTTTCTCACACTGGAGGCACAGTCTGTCCTAAAGACCTGCAGTATTTCTGCTGAAGCTGTTGATGTTTCAGCTGCTTCTTTAGAAACTTCTTTCCAATGCAATAGAAACAGAAAGAACACAAACTCAGTGCAGTTTTAAAGGGTAATTTGCTCTTATGTTGTTTATATTGTACACTGTATATTTTCTTACGGGAAATGCAGAAGTTAGGTTTTCTGACACAGCTCTTAAATCAGAAGACCTTCTGTAAAGCCACGTTTTTACAAGTCCCTTTATGTTGTAAGTGTGATAAGGCTTATTAAAAACACAACAAAGTTTAAAAAAAACCCAGGCCCACAACATCCCTTGGAAAAGAATACAAAAGCCTTTTGGAAACGCTTCATTTCTGAACACAAACGTCTATCTGAAAAAAACTTAAATTGCAAAATTAACAGCAATTCAAAAAATCAATTCTCATATTTCAAATCAGTCCATGATTTCATCATTAGCAGAAACATCCGCTCTTTTTTCCAGCCCAAAATTACCAGCTTTGGGGAAAACACACTCAACAGAAATAATTAATGGGTTACGTTAAATTACCTTTTTTTCCCTGATCCACATGCCTGCATGTTAGATTACGTTACATTAGAACTGAGCATCGTAATTGAGAGACTAAAGCAACAACCTGTAACAGTAACCAAGCAAAAGCCATTTCTCATAGTTACACGCCGTACATCAGCAACTTAATATTAATTTCCTATATAAATAAAAATAAAAAATGGGGTAAAAGTAAATTGGCACAGTCATTATGGTATTGCTTTCCAGTTTCAACACTGCAAAGGGCAGCCACAGATTCTGAACACGGAAAGGAAAGGGCTCTGGCACCCAACTGTCTCCTGCACTTTGCTCCTGCTGTTGGTCTGTGGGCCTTTTTTCCTTCCAATGCAGTCAGCAGCAGCGCCACTGCCTCAGATGCACCACACAGCAGCCTGGAATGGGCAGCTGTGCAGCCAGCAGGAAAAGGATTGTTATGGATCTGCTAGGTGGAAATGAGAACAAATACATAAAACCAAAACCACGCTGTGGTTTACTGGTCCGCCTGACTTAAGTCGAAAGTTGTCAAGATTGTGACTAATTTTTACCTTCAAAAAAGACAGAAATAAATACAAAAAATGCTAAACCTTCAAGTTTTCTTGCCTTCATCCCCTCCCTCCCCCCAAAAGCACCTCCTACTATAAACATGTTTTCTGTTTTCCAGATTCAGAAGTCGGAATGTAATGGAAATACATATAAGAGAGAAGGAATTTCTAGTTGTACGTTACATTACAAAGAGGTTTGCTCCCAGACCTAAGAAGGGAGGGATACTAAGCAATATTAAATTCCTATAAGGATCCTTACATAGCATGCAAAATGTTGATATACTCACAAAATCAGAATTTCTATTTTTTTCCTTTTTGAATTTGTAACTTCACAGTACAATATTTTCTAATATTATGCAGCAGTCAAAATTACATTGACTACAAAATCATTTCCCTTCCATTATTTCTTTCTCTCCATTTGTTTGAAAGACTCCTTTGTTGGTGGTTTTTTATATATATTTTTGTAACTGAGACACTGCAGGTCACTCATCAGAAAACATAAAATTCAGCATCACGGGGGTTGCTTTCTCTGTGGAGTTTCTCCTCAAGTGATGTTGGCAACCCAACTACACCAATCAAGATCTGTCCTTCCCTCCCTTTCTCCATGCTGATTCCTCCCCTTGTCTTCATGCTGCACTCTTCTTCTTGCCTGGATGGTTGCCACCAAATGGATGCTGCATAACTGGGTATGAAGCAACGGGGGCTGGAGTTGTTAATGACAGTGGAGTGATTCCCACCTCTCCCAGGACGTTTGGCACAGCTCCTTCATAGCCAGAACACTTTGCTCTGGATGCCAGCAATGAGATTTTGCTTTCAGTTCCCTAGACAAACACTGCTGTCCTTTACACCTGTGTAACCCCCGTGGCTCTGACCAAGTTAGGCAGGAAGACACCAGCCCAGTATTTAGTGAGACCTGCTGTACAGCTCTGTGTGGTTCCACAGAAATCCCTTCACTGCTCTTACTTAACACAGGCTTAACATTTCTGAAGAGGACACATGCATGCTACTGGCTAGGCTGTCCATAAAGTACATTCTGACATATTTATCAAAGCAGCTATCAGAAGATGACTCTCGTAGAAGCAATGCACGTACAAAGCCTCCAAAATTCAAGTATATATCTATATATTAAAAAATATGTTCTGATAGGAGTAAGCAGCCAGGCAACCTGATAACCACTAATAATTTGTTTTGTCCACGAATGCTTCAATTATTTTTGCAGTGTTAACATCTTTTCTTTGGAGTGTTGGGAATTAACAGCCTTCCCAATTAATTTTCATTAAGTTTGGCAGAGTCTAAGGAATTCAGCAATCCTCTCTGGATAATATTGCTCCTGCTTTTATATGCAAACAACCAACGAATCACAAAGCACTGACTCAAACCGTCCCTGCCTCTCTTTAATTTGCTGTATTTATTTGTAGTGAAAAATCATTGAGTCTGGGCCCTTCAACACCCCCACCCCCCAAAAAATCCACTCCATCAGAAGTGCAACATAGGCAAGAGCACAGCATCTCCTTGTATAAACATTTGCAGGAGAAGGGGTGGGCAAGACAAATAAAAAAGTTTGGGTTGTATGCAAAACTGTTTCACTTCTTTAGAACCCTGTTCAGGTCAGGACTTCAATTTCAGAGGAGGGTGTCTTAGATCCCAGACCCTTCCCTTCTTTCCTCTTCTTGCAAAGCAATGCTATTTTTGTAGCCTAGAACAGTACTTTAAAAACAGCAGTTATTAAAGACACAGTTGTGATAGATCCTTTAACTCCCTCTCACCCAAAAACGGGTATCCTATCAAGTGGTCCATTAGAAATCTTGACGTTTCTTTATGACAAATCCATAAAATGAGGAATACCTTCCATCACATTCCCAACAAGAGTAACAGCCACACTCCGCGGTGCATCTGTTCAAGTGTCTATTGCTCCTTCTAGTGGAGGTTCTGCACAGCTCTATCTCCACTTCGATTCTCATTCTCCTGATCAAAAGTAGGTATTTTTCTACCTTCTCTTCAGCTTGCCACTGGTTAACAAACAGCAGAAGCACTGATGGCCGTAATTCCCCAGAACAGGAACAGGCCAGAAATGTCTGAAGAAACACCAGTCTTCCTTTTTTCAAGAGTGGCAGATTCATGCCAAGAACAGGTTGGGTTTGTGGCGTGTTTTTTTTTGGAGTCCTGTTGGCATCACAGACATCTACACCTCGGTGGAAAAGAGAATACTTTGCCTCTTGCTGTCTGGGGTAGGGATGGTCTCTAGCTGCAGGAAGTACAGAAGGACTTGAACCTGGAAAGAGAAGGGAATAGGTAAAAATAAAGCCTTGTTAATTCATTGTCATGCTGGCTGTTTTACAGCTGGCAGACGTGACTGCATGGCTCTGCATAGGAATTTCTTTGCACTTACTAGTTTAATACAGTGCATAATATCAGGAGGAATATTAAAAACTCCAATGCTTTGGAGGCACTTTTCAGCTTCAAGGATAGCAAGTATTGATGTTCCACTTCGTTGAAAAAATTTGATCTACGATTTGCTGTCACTCAATAAAGGAAGTACAAAACAGCATGATGAGCTAACACAGCCTCCAGGTTCCTCTAGCTGTCTGCACTGCTTTAAGAAGGCTGCAAGGGCAAAAGAAATCTGAATCTAGCAAGGATTACTGAGCACTGTGGAAGAACAGTCCTTTTATCCTAGGCTTGTAACACAGCACTCAAAAAGCCTTGAGACTGCTCTCCAAAACCTTACTGTGCACAAAGAAAGAATGCAGGATGTGTGCATATCGACTATTAGTACAGATACAAACTGAACTGCCTGAAGAAATACAGTTCTGTAAACAGAGTCAAAAACGTCTGCAGTGGGAGGTGAAAGTTGTTTATGTTTCTCAAAACTGCTATGAAAAAAAGGAGGAAAGCTGAACAAGGCCTTGGTAGATGACCACAGCTTACTTTAACCCAGCTACTGCCTTTAAATGATTCAGTAGTGCATTTTGAATTTTACCTGGGACATGACTTCTAGTGACCAGCTATCAGTCATTGTTATAGGCTGGGTTGGGTTGGCAGGGATTTTACTGTCCTTCTCTGAAGGTCTGAGCAGCGTTGGTCCAAAGACAGTTGCAAGATTATGCAGGGACATCTTGTTAATGCTCTCCCTCTCAGCAACCCTGCGAGAAGAAATGACAAGTTGGATCTTTGTAAATATCTGAGTTTGGAAATGTCCTTCAGCAAGAAACCATAATTAATCCTTTTATACAAAATTTAGGTACAGACATTGAAGCAAGCACTCTCTCCATACATCCCCAAATTGACTGTATACATAAACAATACCTTGACCTGACAGCTACAATCTTAGGCACTCTACAAACCCTTGTTTGAGAAAGGGTCTGCTGATTGTTTGGTCAGGCAGAAGTGAGGCAGAAATAAAGGAATGTTTTCATCCCAGTTTCAGAAATGAGAAACTGAGGCACGCAGGTTAAAACATTTACCCAAGGGCACAAGAGTCTGTAACAAAAACAAGCCCAGATTTCCTGGATTTTAATCCAGAACCTCAGTCACAAGATCATCTTTGATGTCTACACTGACAGTCTCTGGATGTACATATGAAATTGAAATACTGTGCATGTATTAAACAAGTTTATTGTATCAAACACATGGAAATATTTGTTCACAGTTGCAACCATATTGCAAAGACAGACAAGATCAGAAAGACCAGTCTAAACAGGGAGCTGACAACTCCAGTTAGAAGTGCAAAACTGGAATTTTTAAAGATGTGTTATGTTAGATTGCAACACCTTTTGAGACAGTACTGACGAGTCCTTAAGCACAGTTTCACAATTAATACTGAAACTTTGATGCAGGTGCAGTTTAGTGGAGATATCGCAGCAGCAATTTGCATTTGCACCAGATAAGTCCTGAGACTTTTGCTACCCCCCTCCTTCAGTTCTAATCCTCTCAGTTTCAGTGACAACGCAGTGCTTCACTAAACGAGCATGAAGCAATAGTGATCTGATGAGCATCCACATCAAATCAGCAAATGCTTCTTCATTTGCCTGATTCAGCATGTGCTCAGGAGAAGGCGGCTCCTTTTTTCAAAATAACCATACTTTACACGTCGAGTAAGTATCTGAAGGATTCAAACATTACCTTTTTAAGTGGTCCAAAAGGAAAAGGAATGTGACAAGGTTGGGTTCTGGAAGTGATAACAATAGATTCAACATACAGCTTTCCTTTGCAACGGGATCTGAAAGTGCTGCAAGACAAAAAAAATAATAAAACATCACCACAGGCAGTAAATTAGAAATTGACTGAACTGTATAATGTCCCAAACCACCAAATATGGTTGGTGCTGAATGGACTGTAATTGCATCATATTTTGGAAGGCCAGGCAGACGTAAGGGCCTCACTGGTAGTTTTTTACTTGATTTCTTGGAGGGATAGAGAACCCTTTTCCCTCTAGCAGTTCAATTGCTTGCAGATGTCCAATCATTAGGATGTTTCCCCTTCATTACATATAACAAGGCATATCTCTCTCCAAAGAGGACTTCCTTGGAAGACCAAATGGGCAAACAACAAGCACAAACTCAGCAAGTAGGCTGTCATTCTATTCCTTGCCTGCCCTTCAGAAACTTGGACATTCTCCGCTTTCAAAAAATCACGGCATTTACTCATCCTCAGATTTGCAGCAAGATGATGTCATTCCAAAGCTAATTTCTGAGATCCATTCCACTTCCCTTACGGCTTGTTCCAAGCTTCTGTGCAACATTAGAAATACAGTTCTATACTGCTTTAGGAGCAGCCTCCTAAAGAAGAGCATCTTTAACACAGATCCAGGTCGTCAAGAGTTATTTTTGCTACTACCTACCAATGCCCTCTGCAAAGTTGGGGTACAGTTCATCTGTAAAGAGAGGTTCAGGCAGCTCTCGGAAGTACAGCTTCAATGTGCCTGCAATAGCATTAACATCCATCTCGCTCATCATCACTGACACATCTTTGTTATCTGAAAGAGGGAAGAAGGGTTAATAAATGCTGGCCTTGCATTCACTTTCTGATTGCTTTGATTCCTTGTTTACCTCCTGTCTTTGCCCAAATAGCTGAGAGTTTTCCTGTTTTCATTTCTCTCAGTTAAATGACAACTGAGAAATGCTGCACAAATGGCTGCAGTTTCCAGCTTTAAATCAACTAGAAGGAAGTTCACACTATCCATGGTTCCTTCTGCTCTGCCAGCAATGCAGGCCTCATCTGGAAAAAGCCCTGCATGACTGCATTTATATGCATTTCAACTTTTTCTTAATGACCACATTGGTTATTCCAGCTCCCTGCCTCAAACAGCTTAGAATAAGAGACTCTGAGGCTGTCCAGCTCCCCACTGAGTGCTAAAGTACACAGGCAATTCAGGGCTCACATTTCAGTTTTGTTACTTCTAAGTACAACAGGACCACCTCCTTCCCTGAAAACAAACATCAACCAGCAGAGCCATAGCTGGCTTAGCAGAAAATGGCATTTAATGCAAACGAAAAAAAGTTGTTCTTCAAAATATGAAACACTTTTACTTGCACTACTGAGGACTCACAAATCAATGTTTTTGGTAGTTCAGGGGGACAGAAAGGAAAATAGAAGAAAGAAGAAAAGCCACACACACAGAAAAAAAAGAGCTCAAGAGGTCCTTTGGTTGCCAGGTGGATGCTGAACGTATGGCAGAAATTTCATTTTCCACAGCACAGCAGTCTGGGGTTGTTTAATCTGCTGAGTTTGGATGTCTTTTGGGGACATGTATGTCATTCCGTTAAATGCAGCAGCACTAAGGAACACTGTTCTATACAAGATCAAGGAAGGCTTTAAAATATTGGTCAAAATTAACTGAATTTACAATCTGCACACAGCAGTATAGCCACAGAGTCAAGAAAAGAGCCCTGACCATCCATCTTCTGATTGGTAAATCACCTCTTCTTCCTAATCAACCACTGAATTGCTTCATTTATTTTCTGCTTGCTTCCTTTCACAAAACATTCTCAAACAATTCCAAGGACTTCTAATAATTTGGAGGCAGCAATGAGGAAAACTGCAGCTTCTGGTTGCTGCTTCCCCTGAGGAATCTTCCTGCTATGCACAGAGTCTTGGCAAGGCCTGCAAACCAGCCGTGTCATGTCTGCTGGGAGGAATAATAGACGTGCTATTTGGTACAGGGATCTATTCCATTGTAGGTCTTGGGTCGCATCTGTGGCTGAGGAATATGAATAAAACATGCAGCCAGTTTAAAACAATTCTCCTTGAATGAGAATCTCTCCCTCTTAATGCTTCTAGGGGAATGTAAATTAAAAATAGCACAGCCATCTGACAGGGAGCTCACACAGGTTCTCACAGGTAGGAGGAAAGCAGGCACAAATACTTACTGACATCAAAGGCCGCTTTCAAAGCCTGGATGTCGGTTGCGACCCCCGAGACGCGGTAGATGCCCACCTCCTCCATTCCGCGGCGCTCGATCTCCTCCACGCACTGGCGCACAATGTAAGGCACCTTTGATCTCTCCCTCCTTAACAAAGGAAGACAGAAGAGTTCAGTACAGCTCATGCCCTCAATTCTTGCTACCCCAGCCAGACAGGCGGGCTAAAATCACCCTGTCATTCTGCAGCAGCCCTGAGCACTAGGGCTTCTAGCCGGCTCCTCCTACTGCCCCCTGTGTCTGCAGCCCTGCGGAGGTAATGGCAGCATTCCCAAACTACCCTTGGATACATAGCAACACTGCTGCCTTCAAATTAATGCATTTCCAAAATGAGGAAACACTACACTTCCCAAAGCATGTAACAGAACAAACAGGTTTTTTTCTGGTAAACAATTCATGACAAAAGATCAGGGGTTCAAATAATACAACAGGATCCAAAGAACTTGAACGTTTCTGGTTATGGAAAGGAAACAACACTCTTTAATGGCTCTGGAACTTTGTGGCCAAGCCAGCTAACAGCAAAGTAAAAGGGCAAGGGGCGTTTCCGGAATTCTGAGAAGTGACATGCTGGAAGTGAACACCCGAGGTTTCCAAGCCTGTATGCAGGTTGGGTTTTTTTCCCATGCAAAAATGAAGCTCACAAAATGTGTACCACCTTTCTGCAGCAACAGCCATCTGCACTGCTACCCAAGTGGAGCAGACTGTACTAAGAAATCCCTCAGTGGCATTAAGACAGGTGCAACCCACTGGCTAATTGGCTTTCTCAAAAACCAGTAGGGAGAAATTCAACCCATCCACTCACTTGGTGACAATAGCAATCTTGACCCCAAAGACCCCCGTCTGTTTCCGTGATGGCATCCTCTTCAGGCTGAACTCTCGACTGGTAAACTTCACTGACAGCTTCACTTCAACCTGATCAGAAGAGAGCAGCTGTTACATTTCAAACATTTTTTTTCCCCTTTTTTTATTCTGCAGTGAACAGCAAAGACATAAACCACATCAGAGGTGTGGAAGCAGTGCTGTTTGCTGTACTTACTCCATTCATTGAGATGACTGTGCGTTGCCAGTCCTTGTCCTGCAGTGTCTGTGGGTCCAGCTGAAAAACATGGAAATGACCCTTGAGCCAAGAACAGACTTGGGAGAAGTCAACTAGTCTGGAAGGCTTCTGTGAGCAAGCAAAGCTCCTCCGCTTTCAATGCATTAATTCATTCCCATAGGAAAACACACATCCCAAGGTTTCCCAAATTTTGGGTATCACGACACATACTGTGCATTCTCCGAGCTGGGATGATGATGACATCTCACTCATATAGACAATCCTGCAACACGCGTGCAGTGTCTGCTCAACAGCAAAGCCTCGACAAGAAGCCTCAACAAGGAAAATCAGTATTTGAAAGCTAAGAACCTCACATTCCATGGAAAGGGAAACTGCAGTCATTGCTGCAGAACATCAGGCACAAGAACAGCAGGCCAAATTTGCCCTGTCCTGCAGGGCCAGGAGTCCAAAAAGGGGAGGAAAAATTTCTGAAAATAGACTGATTTGAAACAGATCTCTCTCAAAGAGCTGCAAGTTCCAAGCACGTAAGCCAGAGAAAGTCTCCTTTGTTCTCTAATTTCTTGCCTAAAGGAGGCATTGGAATTAATTTTCAGAATTCAGAAATAAGATCAAGAATTGGGAATCTCTGCGTATGTGTACACAGGAAATCTCTTGTCTGAAGACAGATGCCTGCTTGCATGCTCTACTTCAGTTTGGGAAGCCTCCTGATAGTTTCAATAGTCAAAAAAGTTAATTAAATGTAAGCACTGAAACATTAAAAGCTGGATTATCAAGGCTATGGGTTTTTCTATCAGTTCTCTTGTACTGCACAACAGAACTTTTATGTAATTTCTGTAAAATCAAAATAAGCACAAAATCCATCCATAACATCTGCTCTAAAAACCAAAAGCAACTGCAGAGTTTCGTTTCCTTTAAAAAAAAAAACACACTGCTTTTCGTTTTTGTTTTTCCCGCCCCACTAAGGGCAATTCTACCTGATCTGCCCAGGCTCACAGTATGGTGATCACAGCAATGTCAGACAGACACACGTTCAAAAAGCCACACCTGACAGTGGACAAAGACAGACCCCCTATTAAGCTCTTATTTTTCCATTCTGGAGTAATTTGTAAGCTTCAGGTATTTACAAACGTTGAATAGGTTATTATTAATTCATCACAGGGAAAGAATCACTTTGCTGCTTCTGCACAAGCGTGAAGGAACGCTAAGTCTGCTACATCACAAGGAGGAGACAGCAAAACTCATGAGCAACATGGGAGGGAGAGAAAATGGCTGTTGAAGTGCAGTTCCTGCAAGAGCTGTTCCTCCCACAGTACCATAAAACCTTCCAAATGCATGGCAGAAAACAGATGCTGCAATCTGGTCTCAGCTGGAGAAAGTGGACTGCAGTTTGCCACAGACTGCTGTGGTTGGATGAGTGCAAAATTACTGTGCTGAAACAGAAAGCCAGACTTGAGAACTTCATAGTTGTCGGCTATGAAGCCAATGGCTTCCAGGAAGGACTACATTCTGCTGAATTCAAAAGACACAATGACCCTACAGTGAGAAAAAGGAATAGAAATGGAACATGATCTACACAGAGATAGGTAACTTTGAACAAATGAAACCTGTGTCAGGATCTGACAGTGGAGGAACCCAGTCGAAAAGAAGAAAGTCAGTTCAGAAACCATGGAAAGCTGTCTCACTTGGAACTGCGTACTACTTTTAATTTCATCTTGTGCACAGTCAGGAAGAACACCTGCCTCTGCTATTGCAAGAATTCACTAAACAAAATCAGGTTCTGAAGCAAAGCCCCAAGTTCCATTTTCAGCTTTGCTTGATTTCTTTTGAGTGAACAGTTGTGAAGCTGGGAGCAGCTGACTCAAGTACTTAAACATCACACAGCAACTCCAATGCTAACCAAAAGAGTTCAAAACCAGCTGATTTTGCTGACACTTAGCTCAAACTACACTGACAAAACACAGACAAGACCTTCCTGCACGAGGACTTCCATCAGCAATCTGCACCAGCAAAAGCTAACAGACTTCAGTGCCTCCTGAGGCAGCTTTGTGGCACTTGGCTCTTGAACACCTGAGATACTGCATGCTCACAAGGAGGCAGCTGCAGCTGCACCACACTCTGTTTTGAATTCACTGTTGTCTGCAAAGAAAAAGACACCAGGGCTATTTCTGCAGTACAGTTCCTCCCTCTCACAAAACTCCATGCAAAAGCAAACTTCTCCGCCTGGCAGAAGTAAATGTTGAAACAGTGGCACCTGCTGTATGTTCTGGGAGCTCTCACACACCATCACGCTCGCTCCAAACCATCAGCAAATTAACCCAGAACTGCTGTCAGGCACACACATGGCACTTCCCCCGACCCCCTGCCACGCTCCCTGCGAAAGACAACAAGCAGAAAGAAGTTTCTCCCTGCTTACTCACACTGTGGAGACCCCAAGAAGGAGCAGATGAGCAAGTCAGGCCAACCTTGTCTCTGCGCACTTTGTTACAGATGTGATCCCACAGCGGGGTGCTGCCTGCACACACGCGCCTTCCTGCTGAATCAGACCGGCTCCTGAAGGCGTAATTGTGGCAGAAATTCCTGAAGACCCCTTGTAAGGAATAGTCAGTAACTAACAGCTCCCACATTTTGGGACTGCAGAAAGGATCAAGAGGCCGACGGGCAGAAGTTCTTTGCTGCAGCACTTCAGCAAACCCGAATAACAGACCGTTTGCCAAGAGGGTTTGCTTTTAACTCCGGCGGAACAGATCCGCCCCCGCCTGTGTGCCTGGCCGAGGTCCCTACAAGCTGGCCAGAACCTGAGCTGTTCTCCCCTGAATTTCCGTGATGGAAGTTTGGTTTCTAGCGAACTGCATTCTTTCCCAGAATCAAGAGGAAACCATTTCTGAAGTGTTTGGTTTCCTATGAACGAGCCATGCTCGGTGTTCCTGAAAACTTGACCTTCAGCTGTCTACAAAGCTGCCGGCAGGGCTCTGCTGGTAGAGGCTGCCACAGCGAACCCAACTGTTAGAAAACAGTTTTCTATCTCCTTGTAGAATGGAGTTACTGACAGCGTTATTTGCAGAGAGTATTTACGATTGCAGGGAAAAGAGGGTTTGAAATACGTGCAAAACAGTTGAAGGAGAACTCTAGCAAGGCCCAGTTCATTTAAGCTAGCAGGTATTACCAGTTCTGCTTAGGTTATGGCTACAAAACTTCTACCACTGTACAGAACAAAAGCAAGTAAAGCAAGTAAAGCAAGCAAAGCAACAAAAGCAAATAGACATTAAAAAGCGTGAGTCCAAGTCCTACTCCATCTCCTCAGTGATTGCCATACAGGGATAACCAACAAAAGCAGTGCTCTGGAGTTGGGAGTTCACAAAGACTCTTTTGCTGGGTAAAAATGGGGACTGAGCAAGGACTGTTGGTGCACCAATTGCTGCCCATGCTCCTCTGTCTCTGAGCTCTGTTGCAGGGCTGGAGGGACCCTCTGTGCTCCCCACCTGCTGTTTGATTGTTGGTAGAGAACAGCTTGTACTGAATGGAGGGTGGAGGGGGGTCAGGCTGACCTGAGCCAACCCTGCACAAATCAATGGCTACAACAACAAAAAATGAATCCAAGGTGCTTTTTAAGTAACTGAGTCGAGTAGATGAAAACTAATAAAAGAGCAAAGGCTTGAATAAGTTCTCAACAGTACTGAATGAAGCAGGAAGTTAGGTTTAACAGTCTGACAAAATCACAATAGGAAATAACAGTGTCAGTGGGAAGCAGAAAACATCATTTACACCCTGAGCAAGCTTTTAGTCCCGGACCCTGCAGTGGATCAACCTTGTGAGACCAGCAAGAGCAACACAGAAAAAGGGCAGCAGGAGCAGGCAGGTTACAAAGCAGACTGATGACAAAGAGTCAGTGAGTGTGATGCTCCAGCACAGAGAGCGGCCTGTGACAAATGGGGCCGTGCTGTCTTTTGGCCTGATTTGGAGATCAGTGACCTGGAAGAAGGAGCACTGAGTAGAAGAATGTAATCTACAGAGAGCCAAAAGGAGGCTGCTCCAAGTGAGCACAGAGCCCTCGTGTCACCAGCCCAAGGAACACTGAGGCACTGTGAAATGGCCGCCACTGCATTAATGCGACAGTGAAATGCACCTCTCAACATTTCCTTCAACTGGTTCCTGGGTTTGAGTGACAAAAGGACCCATCTCATCCCCACCGAAAGCATGAAAGATTGTGCTGTGTCTGTGCAAACAGGACAGACCTGCTAAGAGCCTTATGGGCTTGTTTGCACAGCCCCCACTGGAAGCACGTGTCGCATAGGAAAACAAACAAACTGGGCTGTGTTCCCCCAGCACCTCCAGGCCTCTTGTGACCCACTTTTTTGGCATTGGCAGTGGCAAGCTACATCCCTAAATTCACTAATGAATCAAGCAAATGGTTCTCTGTATCCTGCACAAAACACAAGAGAACAAAGCAGCTTGGCACCGCGGGATTTCTGAGTGCAAGGTTCTAGCGCTCATAGCAAATTAGCAATGAATTAAGGCACACAATTAGGTACAGAAGTCAGCAGAGGCTGAGCGTGCAGAACACAAAGTGGCAGGGACCAGGAGAAAGGCAAACTGAGGACACTGGTCAATAGCAAATGCAAGGCAGGCACTAAGCCGTCTGTGCTTTGTCTTAAGAAATCACCACGGAGAGTTTGCTGATTTTTGTCCCCCAGAAGAGAAAAGAAAACATACAGAAAGAGGAAAAAACAAAGAAGCGTCAGCAGAAGTGAAATGTCTGGGCGCAATGACTGAGGCAGCCTTAGTGTTAGTGTGCTTTATGTTATTTATTTGCATTACTTCCTCCCTTTATTAAATCTCCCTGGCAACTTCACACTCCATCAGTTTTTAAGTGTAACTGATGTGTCATACATGTTGTCAGAGTCTCACTGCTGCTGGAAACTCCCAGTCCAGCCATAACCCCATTCTTCTCCTGCCGCTGCTGACATGTTAATCTTTGCCACCATCACCCCTTAGACATGACCCACTGCTTTCTTCACTTCCACCCTGTTTTCATTGCTGGGGTACTGTTCTGCATGAGCAAACTGTTTAAAGGAACTCAAGCGTGAAAAGGTTTTCTGAGTTGACACTTGGGAAGCACTGCATGTGACAATCTGTTTTACATGGAAAACAAACCTTGATGTCTGTGAAATAGCCATGTGCACTGCTATGAGATATCCCAGATAATTAAGCAGATAACAGTGATCGTTCTGCATGGCAACAGAGGAATGATGGTGTGTTGCTACCACTGAATGACCCCTTAAAGTCACATCCTCCCTGACTTTCCAGCGCTGCTGTGAGGGAGAACAGTTTGCCTCAGCTGATCATGCAGTAAAAAGAAAAAATAATAACAACGGAAGTGGTGTATCTAGGAGGCACCAACTGGAGGAGATGGATCACAGGATGAAGCATCAGTTTGCTCAGGCAGCCTGTTCCCAAGGCTGAAGCCAGTATTGCTGATATATGCGCTCACTTGCATGCACACTTTCATGACCAAACAAAAGGCAGCTACAATCAAAATGTGGGGAAATGCTTGCCACACTTAGTGTAAACCATCCAAGTGCCAAAGACAGATTGCAAGGTAACAACAGAAAGAAAAAAAAACAGTTCAAAATGAGAGACAAACTGAGCCTAAAACTGAGCTCAGCCTCATGCTTCCTGCTGCAAAATATATCTGGCCATTTCCTCCCTTCCCAAACTCCTCACCAACCTCAGATTCACAGTGGCACCTTCTCCCTGCATTTCTCAATGCCTAAGGTGTAACAGAAGCCTCCCCCCCTGTGTACAGTCCAGTGCTGTTGCTCTCAGGTCTCGTGAGGATTTCAATTCCTACCTGCACAGGAGCTTCTCCCATTCAAAACTTTGCAGTTTTACTTTTAGGGAGAAAATCTGCAGATTGGCAAGCCGCAAATCTCTTGCTCGTGGCTAAAAAACAGGGAAATAAAATATTCCATAGGAAGAGAAAACATGAGCAATGGGAGCTATTAAAGTCACTGCCCATTCCTGGAAGCCTGTGACCACATGGACCAATTTCCAGTCTTCCTTCCTCCTGTGCCGTTATGCAATGGAGAGATTTAATAAACATTTCACAGCCTGCTCTCCCTGATTCATTGTCTTCCTCTCTGCAGCACCGAGAATGTGGTGAGTCAGGAATCCCAGCAGGAAGAAGCTGCAGATTTACAATAATACATACAGGGCTTGAGAACACATTACTATTTAACCAACACAGATTTTTCCCTGTTTTTATCAACTAGAGGATGCAGACACGACTCCTGACATTCCCAGACTTCTTAACTATGGGGAATTTTGGAAAAACTCACCCAACTAACAACAACAACAAGACCTGCACAGGCTAGAAACTCCACAGTAAACAAAACTTCTGAAAGAGAAATGAATGTAAAACCAATGATAGGGAAAAAAAAAAAGCTGACAGCATGAACAAGCTAACCTACAGGCACTGGTTTTATTTTGATATTATAATCTCTTAATAGGAATCTTCGGAGGTTGGATTTAAAATTAGAACAAGATAGAACCCTTCAGTAATTCTTATCCACCCCAAATCTCACCAGACCCTCCTATGACTTAGGTTTGTTGTTACTCAGTGGTGTTAACAAGCTACGTGATGCAACAGAAATCACTGAGAATTGAGGATGTTCAGAAAGGTCAGAAAGAGACCTTAAAAACTGCCATGGGGATTTATAGAAAATGAGAGCTTTTGTGTTTGCTTTTGTCATAAAACACAGCACAAATTCATGGATTAGCCAAAACATTTCTGTTGATTTTTTTTTAAGCTTTCCAAGCTGCTTAGATTTCTCTAAAAGAATCAAGTGATTGAATTCAAGTGCCACCAACAAGTATTTATACTTACTACCTTCATGTAAGATGTTTTAATACAACATACACATCCTGTGCATAAAAACACCTACTCCTGTGGGGAAAAAAATGTCAAAAAAATTTCAATCTTATACATTTTTTTTAACTATGTAAGACATTGAAGACTTTAGAAGGTCACTGATTCCACGGTTCTCCAATGAGAGCACACAAATCTCCAGGGCATTTCAAGGCTGAAAGCTTGCTCTTTTGTACTTGCTCAGATCCACAGAAAATCAGCCTTTGTCAGCAGGAGGGACACACAGATCTCTGCTTGGCCTGAGAGTCACGTTCTACTAGCATTTATTGATTTGTATGTACATTATCTTCCAAACACCCAGCGTGCATTTGGTGACAAAGCTTTCCCTGAAAATAGTATGAGAGCTTCAGGGCTGTGAGCTGGGAGGGAGAATGGGCCTCATCAGCCTCATTTAGACAGCAAACCCCTTTAGAGTAACAGTGAGATGTGATCCTGCAAGCTGCCCACAATCAGAGCTGCCTCTGAAATGCCACCGATGGTCTTGGCCTGTGTGATTATCACTCACATCCCGGAAAAAGAGGTCATCCAAGAAGTGGCAAAGACCTAAAGGTAAATGAAGGTGAACCAGTACTATTTTTCTGCACACAAGAAAGGAAAAGCTACCTGGGCAGGGTACAACAGTCCAATGTAAAGAATGCATCCTCAGAGCAAACGCTTAAACAGCTCCCTAAAGCTGTGCACAGACACTGCAACAATCTGGAGGAAGCATAGGAACACGTGTTCACTATGACAGCACCCACTGAGGAGCCTGATTTCCTCTGCACGGACCTTTAGTCCTTTATCACACAGCAGCTCCTGGAGAGCAGCACCCGCCTGCAGTCATCCCCCTCCTTGCTATATTTGCTACACAGACAAAGCGCACACACTGATTCACAGTGGTGGAATAGTTCAAAAAACCCATTTATCTCAGATGCAGTCTGTTGTCATGGGCACTAAAGTTTGGACATGGCAGTTATCAGGACAATAACCCTGTCCTCCAAGGCCTTGCAAGCACATCAATCAACTTCCAGCACACAGGGAAGGAGGGAAGGTAGTGTTCTTCTGTACAGTATTTTCACTGCTTCCTCTTTTGTCTCAACAGTACCCAGGGCTCACTGCAGCTTCTGTATCCTCTGCTGGAAGTGTTGAAGTTAACAGGGAAATCAAGAGATCAGAACCTATTTTTTCTGAAAAAGCATCTTTTATAATAAGGGCAGTGAAGTAAGCAAGGGGGACAAGGCAAGAGGGAAAAGGCTGCTGACTTCCCACTTGTGAATCTCACTGTATTTCTCACTGTCTGGAGGAAAACTCCCAGTGTGGAGACAATCAGAAGGCAGAAAAAAAGCTCTCTGGGATGCTCCAGGATTAAAAAAACCTGTCATGTTTTGCAGTAATCAGGAACAAGTTAAGTGCAGTCTTACCTGGATCTGTCCTTTTCCCATTATGCGATCTGTGCTCTCTCCATCCTCTTTGGTGAGCTTCATTTTGTTGTAGCACTTTTCATAGCACAAAATCCGCAGAGTCTGTGAGCCTTCCAACTCAATCTCAAACTCCTGCAGGGCACCAGAAAAGGACAGAGCAATGAGTGCACCACAGCAAGACGTTCAGTCTGTTCATAGTCAGGATATTATCCTTAAAACTCTTCAGGAAGGAGCACTTCAGGTCTGGTGAAGATCTCCTTCCTCATGAAAACGGTCTGAAAATAAACTGAAGGCTGTACTTTGTACATATGAGGTGGCCAAATTAGAGACTAAGGCAGTTGGCTCCTTAGCCAGGTTTCACTGACATGCAGCGAAGCATCATTTAAAGAAACAAACTCGCCTACGTTCGTCTAATTTTGCTCTCCTGCAGGTTTGCAAGTTGGCTGTAAGCAGGCACACGTCTAATTCTTTCTCCTCACAACAAATAAAAGCACCTCCAAAAAAATCCTCCTTCAGTATATTATCACTGATGTCTTATTAAAAAAAAATAATAATCAAGTATATCTGTTTAAATGATGAGATGCTGGAAAATGCAGGACTCATTTTGTACTGAAAAATTTATTTAACTCCATCCAGATCAAGAGGAAATCTGTGAGAAGGAATTAGAGCCAGGTGGATCTGCCATCAATGTGATTGCTGAAAGGCAGCACACGCTGCACAAATCCAAAGCACGCAGCCTGGGCTTCAGACAAGATGTTCTTTCATTTGCAGTTTTTCTACCCATCACGCACTGATGTCACATGGAAAACAGCACATCAAGAACAACCCAACCTACCTCATTCCAGTTGGGCTCCGTGGTGTCTCTGTACACCCTGGTTTTGGCCTTGTTCACAAAATACCCAAAAGAATCAACCTCTAACGTGCAATACAAATCTGAGAAAGGGGAGAGAAAAACTTCATAAATATTTCTAGAACCTCCTATCTTACATTAATCACCTTTAGGGTGTTTCTTCACTTATATCTTCTCTGTAATAGTACCAGTAACACTGCCCAATGCAAATTTTGTCATCTGGACCAGCAGAGTTGCTTTTATGAAGCTGAATTACCAGCACTCTGGTATAAATAACCTCAGCACAGACAAGCCTTTCACTTATGAGTCTGGTGTGTGCTATTAACTAGTATTTCCCAATCAAGCCACGATGAGCAGAAGGTTTACACCAATGAGAAATGAAACTCCCTTAGGTAGATACCGGATCCCATCAGCACATTGGAGCTGATTTCACTGGCAACAGCATCTGCATAACATCCCTCAGAGGCTAGGTTAGGGCAGAGTCATCAAAGCCTCATTATCTCCACACTGTTTAATTATGTGGTATCTCGTGCTTTTAAAAATAGTGATGAACTGCAGACGTTGCCCCTACTTTTATGCTTTTAGCTATGTTAGCCAGTACCACTGCACTCCTCTAAATTCATACCAATGTCCCAATTTCACTTCCAGTTCCCCAAATCACCACTCCTCTTCCTCATCATCATCCCAGTTACTGCAGTCCTAAATGAATCCACACCCAGCTGTCAACAGCACCATCATCTCCCTCCTGCTATCTAACATCCCCCAAAACCTCTGTGTTACAGAGCTACAACTCACTTGAACTTTGCTTGAATCCTGTGGCAGAGTGGACAATGACATTCAGGAATCCATAGAGACCTGGAGATTCATCATCTATACAACAAGGCAAAGGAACGCTGTTAAATTCACAGAGAAGCCAAGAGTGAAAGACAGAGCGATGAGTTAATTTTGCAGAAGTTTATGTCCCTAAAATGGATGTAGCAGGAACATGTATTCTAGCCATTTATAAATTCTGGCAATTTGGGGCTTTTACAATGCCACTGCTAGGGTCAGCAAGACAGCGTGGAAGAAAAACAGAGGACAAAAGTAAAATATAGACACAAAGCCTATACCAGCAGGCTAAAAAGCAACCCAGGATGGTCTCTGACGCAGTGTCCTACATTTGGAAATCATCACCAGATTGAAGCTGTAGCAGAAAGAAATATTAAGAGTAGCTCTAGGGGAAATGCACAAAGGCAGGCAGAGACAGGCTTTCACTGCAGCTACACCATATGAAAGCATAAACTGTATGTCTTACCTTCCTTATTGATAGTGAGGGGAATGTTGTGAACTGTCTGGAGTTTCACACAGGAATTTGTCAGCATCTGGAGCTCCACTGATGTGAGTGAGAAGCTTTTAAAGCCTGCCACGGAAATTCAAAGGGAGAGCAATTAAATTCAAAGCAAAAGCTGAATGCATGCTCTCTCATTCTGGGCATGCACAGGACAGCTGCTCCCTGGGCAACACTCAGCAACAGTACCATAGCACTTAGGTCTGTACTACTGCTGCAGCCTATCTCTGTTTAGGGCATGTTCAATTATTCCAAATTTAGAGTAAAATGTCCCAAAATGGTTCACAGGAATAAAGGGGCACCCACATTCTTGCAAAGCCAAAAAACACCCACACCAAAATAAAAGTCTCTTTGGTCAAAAGGTGCAGTTGTTTCCTCTGCCTGGAACTACACATCTCTACCTGGAGGGTAATTGAGAGAAACTCCTCCCACACATTCCCTACGTGGTATGGGAAGCAAAATTCCCACAGACAGGCTCAGATGTGCAGTGACAGAAGACTTTCAGATTCCACTCTGAATGCCCCACACCGTATCCTCTGGATTCAATATCACAGCATTTGAACCAATAGCCAGCTAAGGGTCACTCACATTTCTTCTGCTGCTCCCGGATGTTCTCCCTCCACTCTGCCCTTTCATAGTCCGATGAAATGAGGAACGTGTAACTCTACCCAAAAAACAGAAGAACATGGGGCATGCATTAATCTGATCCACCGCTGAGAGCTGGTCTGCCTCCAATATTTTCTCCAGCAGAAATTCTTGGATATACTGCTCTTCTGGTACTCTTCCCATTGCCCTACATCACGGTTTTGTCAATGACAGGCAGGACTCTGGCACTGTGCCATGTCAGCAATGTGTCAGCAGCACCAACAAACAGACTCCTGCAGTCACAGCCTTCACAGGGCTCTGCCCTGCAAACAGCAGCTGTGGCCCTGGCAGCATGATGTCCCACGACAGCTCTGCACAATTCCTTACAGCAGCTGCACCACAAAACCTAAAAGCTTCCATGACAGGCCAAGACACTGATGCAAGCTGAAGAAGCAGTTACCAGCTTCTGAATTTTGACTGGTTTGTAACAGGATCTTGTGACAGTCTTTTGCCTTGTGTGTGCTAAGGCCATGGAGATAGGTTCCAGTACTGTCAGAGCAGGTGATACCTCTGGCACACTGAGAGTCCTGCAAAGCTAAAAGGAGATCGTTCTCAGCATCCCTGGTGCCGAGTGATTCTGTGAAGGGCAGCACACAGCTCTGAGAAGGCAGCCCTGAATGCACTAAGCCTTGAACTGAAGGGGAGGCCAAAAGGGAGTAGCTGCAGAGCTTTTTCTTAGGTGAAGAGGGCAGTTCCTATTGCTCTGACAGGACTTGTCTTGTCCCAGACAAGATACAATTCATTCACTAATACATTCATTTATATTTTTTATGCCAATGTCACATTCAAATTAGTCACGGCCTCCCGAGACATTATCATAACCTTAGTTATGGTTAGGTGTCTGCTCCTTGGAAAGTGCTTTCAGACCAGACAGAAGAAAATAGGATCTCCTTATACCATGCATGTGCAAGCACACAGAGCCCTTTAGCATTTTTCTATTACACAAAGCCTGAGACAGACCAAAACAGCCACTCACCTTGCCATTGCGATTGTGCACCCGGAAAGCCATGTTGGGAGACATCAGCAGCAGGAGCGATTCCTGTTCTGAGAGCTTCTTTTTCAACCTCTCAATGACCTTGCTGCCCTTATTGGCCCTCTGAATGGTGGGGGGAGAGAAGAAGACAAAAGGACACGCACATCATTCTCCTAGACTTGCTCTCATTTACACCAACACACATTTTCAAACCCACAGTTCCTTTTCTCTAAAGGAAATGAGGATATACTCTGACAGATGCCAGACTTTCCACATATTGGTATGCTACACTCCCAGCCTTTCTCATGTCTACAGCATGAGAGCTCCATTTTCAACATAAATGCCTGGAAATAATCACAGGCAGATCCATGTAAGCAGAGGAGCAATACGGCATCTTTTGTTGTTTCTGCCTCCAACTGAGGAGGCCATCATACAAGCAGTGCACCAGAATGAGAATAATGGGCTGTGCAGCAGTCTAGATATCACTGATAACTGAGCTGTACCACAAATCTCTGCTGAACAGCCTGTTTTAGCAGGATTCTCCATGCTTCTATCAGCATCTCATCTCAGCAGAGATATTAAGTCTGTTCTGCATGTGGGATGGAACTGGCTTTTTTTGTGTTTTTTTTTTGTCTTTTACCTTTTCACGCTGGATATCGTTCTTGATCTGGGATATCTTGATTTTCATGGCATCCAGTTCCTCATCAGGTACCAGTGGGATGTTGGGAACTGCCTCGGACTCATCCACCATTTGGAAACTAAGGTCAGTGAGTGGGATGTACCATTTGCAGTCATACTGCTGGCTTTTTCTGAAAGACAGAAGGTCCAAACCTTTGCTCCTTACTGGTGCTTGGCAAATACTCACTTCCTCTTCCTACAGGTCATTCCTCATTATAGCTCATAAGATACAGAAGTAGGGACAGCTTCTTTATGACTTCCACATCAGAAAAAAATCTGGTAAAATGCTGTTTTCCAGTAAGAAAGCCAAGGAGGGCCAATTGCCAGTACAGTGCAAAACAAAGCAAATTGTTTTGTTACCTAGTTTCTTCTGTCCTAAAAAACCCACAAAAATCTTTTGCATACCCTTTTAGTCCTCTGCTCTGCCTCTTCAAAGCCTCTATAGAGGCAGAGTTTGAAAGCAAAGCCACATGTGTGAATGGATGGCTGCCTGTGGTCTAAAGCTCAGGTCTCTCCTGCCTGAGCTGGGATGGTTGAGTGGGGGGTAGAAGTGTCAGCATACAAACTTCCATGTAACCCAATCAGAAGAAACTACACCTTGTGACTGCCATTCTGTGGTGCTCTCACCAGAACAGCCTGTCCACGTTTTTTTAAATATTTTGTGCTATTTACTCCCTTCTTCACCCCTCCTGCCAATATCAGACATTCTTGGGAAAGTCCCACTCTCTTCAAAATTACTTCCCTGGAAGTATGTGCTTCAAAAAGGGCACGAGCAACTTGTTTGAGGAGAACAAGGAGAGGAGTTTCTCAGAGCGAAGGTCTCCTATGACGGCCAGCACTTCCTTGCTGATCACTCTCTGTCCAACTACATTTTATAGATTCTGGTTACCCAGGACTGGAGTATTCAGATTCAGCTGCTGTTGCTGGCTGAACCCAGGACTCTGCTGAAGCTGAGATGCAAAACACATAGACCAGAAGGGAAACCTCACCCTCCAATCTGCTTTTTGAGCTTGGCACACAGGAACAGATCAGTAAAAAGAAAGACGTGGCGTAGTTTGCGAGCCCCCTCAACGAGCTCCACCATGAAACTGTCCTTCAGGAGCTGCCGGTGCTGGTGAAAAACAGAAAATGTTTCAGTTAGTGAAGAAAGAGCCCAGATAAAGCACTGCGCCTCCCTCAGCAATGCACTCCTGATGCCTGACTCCTACCAGAGCCAATTTAATAAACTGTTCCAATTCAGCAAAAAAAAACAGGCTGTTATGTGCTCCTTGCTGTGAGCTCTGCTCCCTGCTGCTGCCTTCTCTCTCAAGGGCAAAAATGGCCTTATTCATCAGGTGCCAGGTCAGAGCTGAGGTTTATTTCCATCACCTGTCTCTGAGACCAAGTGTTACTTACGGTGAGTCATCGCCTGGCTTTAAGTGCCCAAGGGCCACCATCACAGCATCCCTCTTACAAACCAGCAGAGAGCAGCAAACACCACTTTTCTGTCCAGACTTCCCCCATCATCCAGCTACTGAATTCAGCTCCAGCTACCCCCACTCTGCATTAGCTAGATACAAAATGTGTACCTTGCAAACTTCTCTGTAGTCCCTTACCTGCTTGTGTTTAAACAGGATCATCTGGATATGCCCCCACCCCACACCTATTCAAAGCTTTAAAAGCTTTTTTTTTTTTTTTCCTAAATAATTAATAAAGTAAATCGAATGTTCCCCAAACCTAGATGATAATTTGCATTACCTCGATACCTTTATTCCTATTTCTAGTTCCCAGAAGACTTAAAACCTCCTAAATAACAGGCATACATTGGAGGGCAAAAGCATCTTTTCCCTTCTTCCCCTACAGGGACTCCATAGCTGACAGACAAAAAGGCCGGAGCACTGGCACTGAGACAGATGGGTTTGTGCTGTCACCAGCAACCAACACAGGAGTTTCAAGCCTACCACTATGCCCAGGCCTTCTGTTAGGATCAACATGAGTCCGAGTGCACATCATGCAGAATAGAAATTTCCCCTCATTTTCAAAAGCAAGCCAAGGGTATGTCACTTTGGCAAAATTTATTCCCACAAATATGTCTGTCAGTGTTAGTTTGCTTCACAGCCAGTACAAGCAGCCACCATCAGCTTCTGCACACAGGTTTCCTAAGATGCTTTTTCCTCACCCGTAGCACTTTTACTTGTTACTCCAGCTAGGACGATGGCCTGCTGACACCAATGAGTGACATGACACACACTGTACATGCCAAGACAGCACCATGGTTGGAGATAGGAGAGATCAGCTCACATTGCTCAGTGCTAACCAACAACACCCCCTTCTGCTCTGTCACTGTCAGCCTTCTCCAGGCCCACGCACAACTTGTCAGTAGGACAAGCATCTCCGCAGGAAACTCATATGCAAAATCTGTCCTTTGCCAAGAGGCAGCCCTGCTCAGCTGCGCAGCAGTGTGCAATAGGAAAGCAGTTAACCTCACCAAGGTCAAGACATCCAAACCAGAACTCATGCCTCAGTTTCTCAGGGTTATGCCTCACGGGTTTTACTTGCTGCATGACTTAACAAGCCTTGAGCACGTTTACTGCAGAGGGTGTGGGAGTGCAAACCTCCGCTCTCCTTCTCCTTCCTCCTACCATCCGTCCCACCCTGGCTCTCCAAAATGAAAACAAACCACATCAGCCCCAGCAGGCAGCATGGCAAGAAACACAGGAGATAAATGTCCTTGCAGTCACAGTTCTTGTTTCTAGTTTGTTCTAGAATACCCTAAACTTCCTGACACAGATTAAGGGTCTGCATTTTCCTGTCTGCAGCTTGCAGCCACAAGCTGCTGAAGTACAGATAGCATGTCAGCATCTCACCTTGGGTCTGCCTGCCACCACACAAAAGCCCCAGTAGTCAGTGTGCAGCAGTAAAAGCTGCACCTTTCCTATAGTACCATCAGTACTGCTTCCTAGCAGACTGTTGCACCATCTCTGGGCACAAGTCTGTGAAGATGCAGCATCCAGCAGTGATTCAGGCTCTGGAAGGCCCATATATACATTAATATTTAATTTTTAGGCATGATCTTCCTGGTTTCTCCTGAGTGGTTTTGGAGGGAAGGCCTGCCTGCATTGGTGTGCACTTGCACACAGCTCCCCACTCCTGCCTGATGAACAAATCCTAGGTAGGCAAGAAACTAGCAAACAGCTTTGAAAACAAATAAATAAAAAGGAGGTGGCATGTTGGCAGTAACAAAAGCACTCCACAGCTGCAAAGAATTTCTTTTGGGAGCAATAATGAAGCAGGGAAAGAGATTTTGTGAACAAGCCCAAAACCTGATCTCGGGCTGCTAAATCTGATGCATATTAATTATGCTGCAACTCAGCTCAGCTCCTCTGGGGCAATGAGAATAGCTTCTTGTTGCCTGCCCAACCTCTGCTTATTGTTCACCCTAACCACAGTAATTTGAAGGTAAGCATTTCCTCCAGTGAAGGGAAGCCTATGCAGAGGGAACAGTAACTGCAGGTCTTAGTGTCAAGCCTCCACAAAGTAAGAAGAGTCCATCAGCAATCCCTGCAGCAAGCCTCCACGCAGCCTTCCTGGTCCACATAGGTGACCCCTCTTTCTGCCTCCTAAATTCGCACAGTCTTTGGCTGCCATCATCCAGGCAGACTTTCTCCAAGCAGTCATGCTCTCTGTCCCACATCTCCCTCAAATCCAAGCAGAAAGCTCAGCTATACGATGCCAAATCAGGGGTGTGATTTACAGCCTTTGTACTTCCCATCTGGGACTAAGGTACCACTTGTTTGCACTGAGCTTCTTTTGGCTGGCACTCTGGGGTATGAATATCCAGATCGACAGGACACAGTGCTTCTATGAGGCAGCAGAAGTCTTTGGCAGCAAGTTCTCTCAGAAACAGAGTTGGGTGGAAAGAAGACAAGGGTATATTTCCTAAGTTTGCTTGGATCAGAAGTAAAGAGGTGAAAGGGATGTATGCTAGTCAGCCGCTCAGGAAAATACTAAGCTTCCCAGAGCTGTCATTCATTTCTTCTCACTGAGGAGCTAGTTTAGAAAGCTTCCCCTTTGGAGCAAAGGTATACTACCACAATGAGCAACGAAGGATCTAGGGAGGAGAAGAGAGGAAAAAGAGTTTGGGGGTCAAGAAAGGAAATGTATCCTCATAAGGGTGTGAGCTTGATATTAGGTCTAACTACCAGCTTCTCTGGGAAAACAGGACTTTCATTAGGGCTGGCCACAACAAGCGTGCACCAAGCTGCTCAGCATCAGTGGAGCCGAGGAGGAGCACTTCCAGCACAGGGTCACATCCTTTGTTGCAAATGAGTCAACTTGCCAGGAGGGCTCAGTAGGTCAGAGGGAAACAATAAAAGGATTTCCCAACTGGCTTACCAGATCCCTGCCAAACCCCACAGCCAGGGAGCACAAGGCACCTTTCTGACCTCCTGCATGAGTCAACCCATCCTACCCCACACCCTGGGGAAGCCAGGGGTCCCCATAGGCAGCATGTCTGCCCGTCAGGTAGCCATATCACCTCAGTTCCATAGGTCATACTAGCATTTTGGGAACCAAAGTCTATAAAGGTTAACTCTCTCCTGAGGGCACCAAGAGCTGTTCCTTTGCTAGCCTTTGGTTAAACAGTCTCCCAAAACATGAGGTCTTTTATCTGAACGAATAGTCCCATGATACTGTATGTCACATACAACATGTGCTGGGAGACCATCTCTCTCAACTTTGTTTCTGAAGTTACACTGTTTGCTAAGATTACAAAAGGTGTTAAAGGTTTTCCTAAAATTCACTATAGATTACAGAAACACCAAAGACACATCCAACAAAGCATGGGCTTAGTATCAGAGTGGCAGTGCGGCGGCGGAGGGACTCCATGTGTCCTACAAACAGCCCCAAGACTAACAGGTGTTCAGCTCAGGAGCTCAGCTCAGATGCTGAAAGATTTTCGAGGACATCTAGAGGAAAGCTTCTTATTTTGTATCATTATAGAGTGAATTAGTACAGCCTTTACCTCTCAAACAGGGCCTGGGCAAACTGTCACCTACCAGAGGCTTTTGCTATGCTACCATATTGGTTCAGTACAAGCCCCAAGTCTCCTTTCTAGACCCTGCTTTCTTTTTCATGTTTTTAGCTGCTGCTTCTCTCACCCCCATCTCTGTGTTCCAGACAGAAGAGCTCTCCCTTTATGTCCTTCAGTGCTTGGATATCCTCTTTGGACTGCCTATTGCTGTCCTCTTTCCTCTGCCAGTGAGCACCTTCTCTGCTACCAATGTGCTCATCTATTCATTCTACAGTGTTTTTGTGCTATTTGTAAAGGATAAATCCTTCTGCTGTTGTGTTCTGCTTACCTCCAAGAAGTGTGGCAGAAGATCAGCCTGAGACACATTACAAGAAGTGGAATTTAAAAATATATTCATCCAAAACCACAGCTGTACAAAGGGCCATCTCCTCACGTGACAGCCAAGCAAAGAGCTCATCCGACGTGGTGACAGCAGCAGCGTGCGTGGGTGAGAGCCCCCGGAAGGACTGGAACATGTGTGATGCAGGAGGAGAAGGGTAAAAGCAGAAGATGGGTATTGGCATATGCCAGTGAGGAAGAGTGGCTTGGCTTTCTGCAGAGCGTAGGAAGAAAATGATTCCTTGTGTGTGCGCATGTTTCAAGACCAGCACTGGAGAATTAAGGGATTCTATGCTTGGAGAGATAAATTGGCTATTTTGCATATCTAGTAGGTTTTTTTCTTTATTTTTTTCCTCCCAAGCTTCTGTCACCAGAAGCTCTCTGACTCCAGCTGTACTTTTTAAATATTCTACTGTCAACACCTGCCCAAAGGCTCTGGGAGTAATAGGCACCAGGCTTTGAGCTGTGCATGCCTGCCTGCATCTAGGCTTAGTCTTCAACTTTCCAAAGGCTTTACTTTGCACTTCTGCTCCCTTGCAAACCTCCTCTCCTACTCTAAGTCAAACAGAAGCCTAAAGCAGTGCTAACTAGTTTATTGCCTGCAGCTACAAGCCTTGTTTAGGTACGTGTTAGAGCAGTCTGCCAACAGCCTCTTCTCTCAAGGGCAGGAGGGGAAGGTCCACAGCAGCATAAGCAGATACAAAATGTGATTTGGGGGGTCTTATTTCCAGAAGGAACAGCCTGTCTGCTCTCTTTGCATAAAGACTGGTGCTGAGGATAACAGACACTAAGCTACTCAGCCAGTAGAGTGACCCAGAACTAAAAAAATGGCTTAGTTTTCAGGTAGCTCCATCCCTCCATACCACTGTGTGATCACATAAACCCAGCGCTAACACTTCAAAGAGAGTAGGAGTGTGCAGCCATGGGTGAGACAGAATGGCAGCCACCACCACTCTGATTAGTTTGAACTATTCTGAAACAACACCCTGCAAAGAGTAGAGATGAGCTGAAGCCTAGGAAGGAACACACATCAAATGAACTCTGCAGCTTTGTTAACCTCTGCTTTACAAGAATGGGCCGAATTAGCTGGAAGCACAAATCTTGGCAGGGAAAGATGACACACGCTCCAACAGTCATTTGCATCCAGGTTCAGCTGAGAAGAAACATGCAATCTGCAGAGCTCGTTTGTTAATAAGTCTGGGAGGGCTATAACTCCCTCCCTTCTGGCATATATTTGTACATCATCTCAAAGCACTTATTTTCCTGCTTGTCTAAGGGACCAACCCCTGTAAAACCTTAAATAGGTTTCCTATTAAAGATGAAAGAACAGAGAAGAAGGGTCAGCAGTGAGCACGTAAGAGGCCTGCTCCATGGTCTTAAGGGGTGCAAGATTCTCCATATTCCCTTTCTGAGTCAAAGGGTGCTGTGCTACGCAGACCCTCTTCCCTCCTTTTGTGAAACTGATTTTTTGAGTTGGTGAAGTGGGTATCTGCAGATAAAACATCAAAACTACAAAGAAGTAAAATTACAGAAGTAGTAAGCTGGGAAGGAGCAGCGAGAGAATGGCACAGATCAGGTTGAAGGGAGACAGAGTCAAAAGTCTGGAAAAAGCCTTCAGTAAACCCCTCCTGGCTCCCCTGTGCTGCCAGCTACAAAAGGCCCAAACCATTCCTGAGAGGTACAGACTGAGCTGGACCTGAAATTCTCCAGGCAAGACCAGAAAAGCCATCAAAAATTGCTAAGTCTTTACTCCTCCCCACACTTCTGCCTTTCCTTCGGAGTCTTACTATGAGGACATATTCAAACCCTTCTGCAGATCATGGAGGAACACAGTGCATCCTTCTCCTCAGCACAGACTCCAATGCTCTGCTAGTTAAATTCAGCCTCAGGGCCACTGCTGCCTTCCCAAACACCAAACAAATGCATTGAGTGAACCACTCACAAACCAAACAGAACGGGGCTGGTGCTATCCTGGATCCTCTGTACCAGCAGTCCCTAGCAAACTACAGAACAAAGAACTGTGGTTATTGTTAGCCTGACCAGCAGCAAGGGCCAAACTATGTGCAGTATTCCCTCCATCCTGGCTTGTAAGCTTAGCCCAATTGAGCCTCCCTTTCCTGTTACAGGCCCTTCTGTCTCCGCAGTGAATGGTTTTACTCCCTTTGCATTCATCTCCTCACACTAACTGAAATATTCATTCAGCCCCAGCAGATTAAATCTTGTTCGTGCATCACAGAAAACTTTCAGTTCACATACATAAACCCAGAAGTAGCAAAAAAAAGCCTGCCATGCGAAACAGGATTTGGATGCTCCTGTGCAGGAACAATATCTGATGTCATTCAGGAAGGCAGCAGGCAGGTCAGTGTGAGCCAACGCTCACAGAGCAGGAACCACCTTTTGTAAAAGAGATCAAGACTGTTCGTGAGCTTGTTCTATGTTTTGACCTGCACTCTTCTTAGCAGCCTGTCACTAGGGAGATTAGCCACTCGCTGCTTTCCTCAGTTCAAAGAGATCCTGAAAAAAAAGAGCTGGAGAAAAGGAGATTTGACTCCTCCCCATGATGCACCCCAAGGAGGAAACACACTCTGTATAAAAGGCAAGGACTGGGGAAAAAAGACAACTGAGATCAGCACCTAAGCAATGCATGAGGGGAAAATGCTGTTTTCCCTCCTTCCTTTTTTCACCAAGGAAATTTCAAAGGGGAGTAAGACAAGTAATAATAATAATAAAAAAAAGCTATCAAAGCAAGCTGGTGACTCATTAAAATAAAAAAATGCATTATGTATTGAGGGTAGTCAATTAGGAAATGCGAACTGCACACTGTCCTGTCACCCCAGGGGAAGCATAAGCAAGGGGAGTGGGAGGAGAAAAGGAAAAATGTACAGGCATAAACAAAACCCAGCTATGACCCCAAGGTGAGTAGCCTGTAGGAAGCAACACCTGTCACTAACCCACACAAAGCAGTTGGAAGCCTGCTTCAGCCTCTGGATTATTATGCAAAGAATGAACATAGCTACTCCCCAGACAGATAGATACTGATTCGAAAGAATGTGGAATACAACTGGAGAAAGTATCCACATTCAGCCTCTCAAAGTGGAAGACAAACAGGGAAGCATCAGAAGCAAGTTCTTTTCTTGCCTAGGCTCAGTACAAGGAGCGTGCAGTGAGGGAGAGCACAAAGGGTTCCAGTTTTGTCCAGCACACCTACAGCCCTATCCTTCAATATGCACTCTCCCTCCATCACACACAAAAGCACTAGAGGACCACTGAGCTTGTGAACAGGCCTGCTGAGCACAATTCCAACAGGCCTCCTCCTTCCTGCTTTGTAAGATCTGACAAACATATTGCTCCAAAAAGAGATCATCAGGATTATCCTCCCAAGCCAGCCCCGCTGCCTATGCACTGGCACTTCATTAGGATTCTGCATGACACTTCCCAAAGCCTGCATCCCTCATTGAGATGCTGACAGACAACCGGAGAACACAAAGTGCTCCCTCCCCTGCACGGGGACATTCCAGCCTGCAGTTTCTGCTGTGACTCAATCAGCATCCACTTTAATGAGGCTATCTGCTATCTCCAGGCCCTGGTGACTGACGTTTGAGCTTCCATCTCAGCCTTCAATTGCTCAGTCTCCCCTCTTCTCAGCAGCAGCATTCCTCAGTTAACAAAATGAAAATAGGAGCGAGTGTCACAGGTGAACAGTACACCTAATTTCCAGTACTGCAGCTTCTAGCTGATCTCTGTCAGCTGATAATCAGTTTAACAGCTAAAAGCAAGCATGTTTAGCTGACAGGATTTGGGAATACATCTCGAAGGTTTGTGGTATGTTAACAATCTTCTGGGATTTGTAGGAGATGTTTTTGTACAGGGTAATTTGGGTCACTTTTGATCAGCCAGTGTCTTCAGCATGCTGCCACAATTCCTCTTACAAATTTATTATTTGAGCTGCACCTCCCTTTTGTCCAATATCCTACATCCTCCTGTCTCTTCGTACTTCTGTCAGTCCCAGTGTGCCCTCATCAGGAAGGACTGAACTGTCATCTAATGAAATCACAAGGCGTATGAATCGAGCCCATTCAGGCACGCAGAAGTTTACTGCTGTGTAGGTTTATGCTTTCCTTGCACAGCATGACATGCAGGTAAGGGAACCCCACGTCTTGGAGCTTCTTGGGCATATTCAAACTCATAGCAGAGCTGAGAAGAACTGTACCACACCTATAGGATTTTAACATCTCCCTCAGCTTTCCCAGCCCATTTCATTTGTTTTGCTTCTCTGTCCCACTCACAATATTGTTCTTTAGAAATGAGGATGCAAAAAAAAAAAAAGAGTTTATGGCATGAATTAATATTTAGGCCATAACATTTCCTAACCTGTTATGATTTCTGATAATTCCTCATCTTTTTCTCTTCCTAGGCTTCCTGTGCGTTTGCAGGTAAAATATATTTACTACATAACTATGCATTGTAGAAATGATGTATGACAAATCATTATAAAAGTGCTAAGGACAAAACTCTAATCATTCTTTTCCTCCTGGTTTCCAAACTGTTTTCCGTAAAATATCCTTTAGAAAACAAGGACACTGTATAAACTGTTTCTTAGCAACAAACGAATTAATAGCTCAGGTTCCCAGTCTGCTCCACAAAGGTACAACCAGTATTTAGGAACTGAGAAAATAATGGAAGCAGGAAGACTCACCTCCCCCTTCTTTACAGTCATGGACTGCCGACGAGGAGTGATCTCCTCATTGATGCTGGAAAGGAAGTTCTGTGAGATCCGCAGGGCGTCCTGCAGGAGTGGATGATCAGGGTGGCTCACTGGAGTGTGCTTGAGCAAATCCTGCCACCAAGAACACAAGCGAAGAACAGAATCATGAGCAGCACTGGAAAGCAGTGCCCCCAGAGCTAAGTCCCCAACTGAAGCCATCGGAGAAGATACTCCATGGCTTCTTACAGGCTAAAGTAAGGCTGTAACTACACAGGAAGAGAAATGACAACTTTGCAGTTTGTAACATCACTGGAGAGCTACCAGGGTACCATGGGCTCCCTCTCCTCAGTGTAAACAGAAGAGGCTCCTATGCAGCACAGCAGCTTAGTTTTTGCAGTCCTGCAGCTCAGTGGGAAACATGAGAGGAAAAGAAAATAGGAAATGGGAGAAAAGTTGGAAAGCTACCCTTCAGATACTTACATGCAGTACAAGTGTGCTGCGAGTCACTCGATCCACTGGCTTGTATAGCAGAGCTGTGAAAAGAACGCAGCAGGAACATAAAAAAGTGGTACCTAAATGCAGCCCTTAGAGAACAACTTGTCCAATGCCACTGAGCATACAGGCACAGGTTTATTAACTGATGAGGTACTAGAAACTCTTCTCCAAGGTTAACGTGCTACACAGCCAGTAAAATACACATGAACGCACAGAGGAAATAAACATGCTGTACAGCAAACAAATACCCACTTGTGAGCATATTCTGTCACACAGTGGGTGAGGAGCACACAAGGTGGTACAAAACAACTGCAAACAGCATGGCACACTTGCAACAATTTCCTGGCAACCTGCCTGGTCCCACAGGTCAGAATCGGGCCTTGCACTCTTAAAGTTGCCAAGGAGGTCCCTGAAAGGTTGGCAGTGCATCCCTCCTTCTGGAGTTCAGCATGACACTGTTGAGTGCTTCCAAACCCTGATAACAGGCCAAAAAAGGAAGGGGATTGGCTTTTACATTAATCATTATGGAAGCTTCATATAACATAGCTTATCTTCTACTATGCATACATGTAAAGGCAAGCACAATGAGAACTGAGCTTGACCAAGCTCTCTAGAGAAGGCAAAAAAATAGAGCAATTACTTGTAGGCTGATGTTTGTGCTAACACTGGGTAGTAGGTGCTTTCTTAAGAACACAGCAGTCCTTTGGTTAGCCTGGTTATGCCCAAAGGGACTCATCAGGTTTAAGCTGGGCAGGAGCTCACCCATGCATGCATGCAATTTACTATGCAGAAGCTCTACTACGTAGCAAAAGGGAACTGATTTCCCATGGAAAGCCAACAGAGACTCCACAACCTTCCAACATTTAAAAAGAAGAAGTGAGTGGAGGCTTGGCAACAGCCCCCACGCAGTCCTGACAAACCAGTATCCTCTGCATGGATCACTCACTTTCCAAGGAATTTTTCGTCGTCTGATCTTTAGATTCCTTTGTGCTTCTAGCCTTTAGATTCTAAAAGAAAAAGAAAACCCACGTAGCAGACGGTCAATCACCTTGAAATATCACATGGGAATGTAAGAGACTATCTGCTCCTCCAGAGAAGGGCCAAAGAATGACTGGAGGACAGCCCTGCCACAGTTCAAATCAATGAAGGAAAAAATATGCTTGTTTTCCTGATAATTTCACCATTGCTGTGACAAAGGCACCTACACATCTCAAATAATAACCAGATTTCTTAGGAGTTCGCATCAATAGAGAAGCAACAAAAGAGGGAACCACCTACAGCAACATAGGGATGGTAGAAATTTTAATCACCTGCAAGAGAAAGGCATGTCCACAACAATGCAGCCATTGTCATAGCATGTACACACCACCAATAAATAAAGCACAGGATTGGGATTTAGCACCCCCTGATTATACTTATCTATGCCCAGAGCTAGGTGACCTTGGAGAAGTCAGCTGCCTTTCACAACAGAAAAGGAACAATGCCTGTGACTTTTCTTTTTTGCTACTGTTAATAAATGGGAAACTCTGTGGAAGGCATTTCAGTACTGAGAGAAAAGGGAGTGCAGAGGAAGCTACTCTGCTAATAAGTGGACACCACAGGAGCAAAGAAGTGGTAGACAAAGGATCAGAACCCAATGGAAACCGTCAGTAAAGGAGAAAATAGAAGAACCTGCACTCTGTTGAGTAGTACGTCAGATCCCAACAACGTTGAATGTACTCAGTAGCTTTTTCAGAGCAATAAACACCATAGTATTATTCAGGTCTGATTATTTATTTGCTTGTTTTTAAGGATACAGATATGAAGTTCACATTTTCTTGGCAACTGAGTTTTTCAAGACATGATCACTGCAATGCAAACAGTTAAGAAGCACTGCAGGCAAAGCTGGTGGCCTGGGATGTTCTTTAAAGCATTTTGACACAAAGTACTCCCCTTTGAGGAAATCAGAGCAGCTGGTAAATAATCTACATTACACTTAATACACTTGCCATTTTAAACAGAATTTTCTGTCCTCTTCTCCAAACCAGGGAAGCCTGCAATTCCATGGTAGACATAATGCAAGCCATTAAAGATGGCTTTTTTTACATGCGGTCAGCATAATCATTGCGAAGAGCAATATTTGGGAAGCTCAAATAACAACTTTCCCTCTAGAAATGCATGCAGGTGGCACAGAGCTGAAAAGCTCACAGGAATGTCAGTTGTTACAAGATTTCCTGGGTAGGGACAGCACATAAAGGCAGTGTATAGGATAACCTCTACTAGCCCAAAATATAAATCATTGTAAGAATCCAAGCTGAAGCAGTGAGTCTAAGGGAGCTCATAACTCCTCCAGAAGTCAGGGCTGCAAAGAGTGTTGGAGAATAGATAAGTGACACTGCAGGGTATTAGTCAGATTCAGATGGCTCATGTGTCTGAATACCGTGACATTACCTCAGAGATTTCAGCAAACTGAGCATTGGCTTGGCAGCATTTCTCTGCTGTCTCCATGGCAACTTCATAGTTATCCACAAAGGCCCGGTACACTCCCAGCTGGCTGGCCTGCAGGAAGCAAAACAAAATCAAATAAATGCTGAGGAAGACGAGTTTGGGATGGCCAGACTGAGTATCTAATGATCAGGTCATGTTCCTTCACAACAAAGAATCACAGGGAATACTGAGCAGGCCCAGAAAGACATCTCTAACCTGTTAAAAGCTTAACCAGGGCAGGTCTTCCATACACCTAACTCCAAATATCCTGAACAGATTCACTTACTGGCCTGTGAGGATGACACATCTTTATTACTGCCATCTATTTTTCCCTTCTGAACTGCCAGATTAGTATCTATTAATATTTTAGCTCATTGATGTAACTGGAACTGCTGGATGGTTGCCACAAAATATGAATCAGACAGGAATGATTCAGCCAAACAGCACAAATGTGACCCCAGTAAGCTACTAGCTGGAGCTTTTGCACACATACTGGTCACACTAAAACAAGCCCAGATATTAAACTATATATGCATCAGAAAACATTGTAGTAAGGACAGAAGATGCTGAAAACGTAGCAGAAATTCAGCACAATCTGTCTGTGAAGACACTGACTGCAGCACTTAGGTCCAGGTGAAGATGGAGCAGAGTCCAGTAATGAGCCACTATCATCACTGAGCCCATTTTCTGACTTATTAACTGCAGCCATATTTGTGCCAGAGAACAAAAGATCCAGCTCAGGAAATCCATGGGTAGCTTCCAAGCTTGTCTGGATCGCAGAGCAGTCTTTATGTTGCGGAGCAGCACAGGCTGTGCTGTAAACACCTCACAGTTTGAACGTGCTCTCAAATGCGTGGTCAGCAGTGAGCCAATAGGTGGGGTGCTGTAAAAGACTCAATTTGAAAGAAGCCTGTTACCAGAAAAGCTTGCATTTACCCTATCACTTCTACAGCTCCCTTTTGCCCAAGAGGTACAACAGGCAGAGCAGTGAACATTCTCACAGACAGTGCTCTTTTCCTCTCTGGCTCTCCCATAACCACTGTTCTCCATTCTCTCTGGAGCTTTATGCAAGAGATAACGGATGAGAAAAAGGCACTGCATGGAGAGCATTTGCTGCAGCAAATGTTAGTGTTAGCTAACAAAGACTATTCTCTATGGCAGATTTTACTGAAAGACTGGGTACTGGTCACAGAATCACAGAATGGCCAGGGTTGGAAGGGACCTCAAGGATCATGAATCTCCAACCCCCCTGCCAAATGCAGGGCCACCAACCTCCCCATTTCATACCAGACCAGGCTGCCCAAGTCTAAACTCTCATACCATAAAACATGCTTATGACTGAAGCTGAAAGAGACTGTGCCCATTTTGCCAGAAGTGACTCAGTCCCAGCTGCCAGTGGGGCACAAATCCCTGAAGAAGTAGCTGTCAGAATTACTGCTCATTTGCAGGGCTTATGACACTCAGGTTTGGATGATGCCAGATGACAAGGCAGAGCTTTAGAGTTTCTCCATTATAGCGTGGCTCTTTCATTTCCTGCTACTCCTGAACAGGCTCTATAAGCTTTGTTTTTCTTCCCTACAGATGCTGTCATTAAAACATTGCTTCCATTAAAAACTGATCTTCCAATAATGCTCCCCAAGTTTTTATGCTAGTTTGAGTTTTTCCTTTTTTAATTAAAAAGAGCATAATGAAAACTAAATAAACTTTGGCAAAACTAATTGTTTTTTGGTGAAAAGTTTTCCATTCTTGAAAACTATTAGAGACAATATTTGCCAAATATTTATTTCTAAAAACTGTATAAAATATTCCATAAACATGAGAAGCTCATTTCAATCCCACATTCTTGATGGCTTTCATTGTTGATGTTGATTTTTTTCCCCCTTCTTTTCCTTAGTTTCAACAGGAAAACTCATCCAGTGACAGACCAAGAGGCAAAGGGCACTAATTGGAACACAGGAGGTTCTGCCTGAATATCAGGAAGCACTTCTTTACTGTGCAGGTGACTGAGCATCAGAACAAGATGCCCACAGAGGTTGTTCAGCCTCCATCCTTGGAGATATTCCAAAGCCTCTCGGACACAGTCCTTTGCAGTCTGCTCTGGGAGGCTTTGCTGGCCTTCCTTGAGCAGGGAGGCTGGAAGAGATGACCTCCAGAAGTCCCTTCTGACCTCTGTATCCATTCTGTAATTCTGTGAAAAAGGTGGAATAACAGCCACTGGCACTGCAAATGGATGATTATTTGTGCCAGACCACATGAAATTCTGGAACTTGTGACATGCACTAACTTCAACCCACATTGCTTTATTTTATAAGATGTTCAAGAAGATTTATGTTCACAGAGACCTCAGGATAATAGCAAGGATTCCAGCCTTTATCAACAAATTGCATAACACAACCACAACTAAACAATCTATTCCAGAAGATTTGATGTATATCCTGTAAAGATATCTTCTAATGCCTGCTGATCTTGCTGTCTCTCCCATCTGCCACAAATGATGAGCTTTACTTCATGCAGCACAGTTCACAGTTCCCACTGAATCTGTACCAAACCATCAGAATCCAAAACCACTAAGCTAGCTCAGTTGCCTGCACCAGATCAATTTGTTTGCTTCCAATACTAATAAATTCTGTTACAAATTCCCAAGAATCAAGGGAAGATAAAAATGAGAATGCCACAGAAGGGCCTGTAACCACCATCAGCAAGAAATGGTCTTAAACAAAGACCTAAATAGCTGCAGAGGTTGAACCTTCCCAACAATATTCTGTTACATCTTGTTGCTGTGCAACAGCCAGAGCAGAGGGGCATTCTGACAGAAAGGCATCTGACAGGGGAGTGCATACGAAGCAGGAGCTTTCATGGAAATAAACAGGAGGCATTACTTTCAGAACAACCTATGTCTATCTTTGCTTCAGCAACCAGAAGCAATTGGTTTTGTCTTCTTAAACCAGATGCTTAAATTGCATATGCAGAGCTACTGGCCAAGATATCAACTTGACCCCTTCTGGCTAAAACATGCTGGCAGTGGAAAGCAGATTCCCATATTTTCATCTTGATCTGTCAGCATGCATGGAAAACATCCCCTTCCAGGCCCTTCTCCCCCTGCTCCACAGGCAGTGGTGCTGGTACTGGGCTACACAGCTGCTAACAATTGAGTGACCCTGGAAAAGAGCACTCTCCATCCAATAAACCCCTCACTGGAATGTCACTCCTACCCTGAGAATCAGAGGCACCTCAGGAATGCAGAGATTCTTTTCTTTTCTAAAAGGAAAAAACAGCCCTTTTAATCCCTTTGCTCTCTGTATGCACTAGGGGAGAGGCAAAAGAGGCCAAAGGAATCTCCTAGAATGCAAACAATTTTTCATCAGACTCAGAAAGTTTGCAATTTTAAATCAGCCTTAGGAATATGCTTTACATGACTTTGGCCTGAGAATTTTGTTGAGGCTGCTTGGAGAAGTCTCAGTATCAGGCTGACTGTATCATCTCAGCTGCAAGGGGAATATCAAAGTCACTACAGTGCTAGAAAAGCAAAGCTAAAGGCAACCACCATAAAAAAATGTAGATGCAAAGCACCATAGAGAAAAGGGAAATACATGTGAGGGAGCTCAGCAATAAGGAGAAATACTTATCTTTTGGTGTTAAAAGACTTAGTAAAAAGAGAAAGAGAGAGAACAAACACTGTCATTCCTCAATCTTCCTGTAAAGTAAATAGTTTGATGATGCTGCAGACAGCCTGAGATTCAACATTTCTGTAAAACTGTATTTGTATTAATATCGTAACTTTTTGGAGTCTGTAATTAACAAGAGCCATTTTTTCCCACAGTGAGGCAAAGCTAGAAACTTGTCATTCACTCCAGGGACAGGTTTCCATCCCTTTAGTCCATGCAAAGTCACCAGAAGAAGCTGTAGCAGCACACGTGAGATGAACGAGAGGTAAGAGAAGCTCTGGTGACTGCAGTCAACTCACCAGCTTTTGGAAGAGGTCTCCAACACGTTGCTGGTGACTCCACTGCTGCACTCGGGGAAAGAGTCCATCATAGAATTCTTTGTGGATCTCATAGAGCTCAGGCACTTTGAAGAATATGGTCTCAATCTGCTGACTAGTCAGCACAGGCTGAGACGTGGTGGCAGCTGCTTTCAAAGGCTTCATAGGCTGAAACGAGAGATGAAGGAAACCATTACCATGCAAGCCAAGTACATTCACCCTTGCCACATGACAAAACATACTTCCAAAGAGTTGTTTTACAGCCTGTTAGTAAGTGATATTTGCATTCACACAACTGCTGAAAGCTAGGAATTAGCAAATTCTCTCATGGAGATCAGCCACCTCTGGTATGTGGATCTTCCCGATATTAATAGCGTGATTAAAATCACTTCGCACTCAGTTTCCTCAATCTCTGTCCAACTGTAGAGAAGTGTGTCTAATAATTAGCACTGAATACAGACAGCGTTCCTGCACGCTATCAGATTAATATCTCCTGGGTTGTGCCATACCCAGTCCTTTCCTTTGGCTTCTTTCTCTTGACTAGAGAAGTGGCCAACAGGTACCTTTTGCACTGAGCAACTGACAATCAAGGTGTGTGAAGTTCTGGGCAATTTTGGATGGAAGTAGCAGCAAACAATAGCAGTACTGGTGGTGGAAATGGAGCAGTGCTTACCAGCAGCAGAGCCTCCAAGTGGCTCAGATAGGTTTCCTCACTGGCCAGGATTCCTGACAAGACCCATTTTCTCATCTCCAGGCCTTTCTCCAGATCTAGCTCACTCTATAAAGAAGTTGTTAAGTGAGGAGAAGAAGAAAAAAAAAAAAAAAAAAAAAAGAGAATGAGAATGGAGGGGGTGAGGAGGATTTTATTTACTTACAGGCTGATAAAAAACAACTTGTGTTTAGTGTCAAGATTCTAGACATAGAAACACCAAAGAAAAATTTTTATTCACCAGAAACTGATGGCACTCATTTATAGATGTTAGTTTTTAGTCATCTATCTTTGGTGCCTGGGTTTCTTCACATAAATCAGAACTTAAAACTTTAAGATTCAAAAATCTATTATTCTAAACAAATTGTAGGGACCTTTGGTTATGTGCAGTTCATTCTCTCCTCCCATGAGAATTCTCTACGATTCTGCTCCAAAGCCATGTGTTTCCCTACACAGACAGGATCACTTTCCCTCTTTCTACACAGATGCACATGAATATAGAGCAGAAACAGCCTGCCATTGCTGTTAAGATGGCTGTTCTTTCTCCCACTCTTTACTATTCACCAAGTTATTTTCACTGCCAGCTTGCACAAGGTCTATTTTTAGTTAAAAGTCTGAATAATCAGCACTGCTTGGATTGCACATGCTGGTTTTCTTATTGGAATTCCATAAAGCAGTTCTTAACCAAAACAACTGGGGAAAAAAAGAGAGAAGAATAAATACATTCATGGGCAAACACCAAAGTTAGCCATCATGTTTTAAGAGAAGTGACATTCTCTTTTCTACATTGCAGTTATCATTGACAAACGTTTGACCTGACAAAATGGAGCATCCCCATAAATTCTGAAGAAAACAAAAAAAGGAAAGCCAAACAGTGGAGGTTATAAATAATGACACACCACCAGCATCACTTCTTACAGAATGTCATTTTCAACTTTTTATTTCTGTGAATGACTGCCTAAAAAACAAACAAACAAAATTCCTATTTTTGCACCCTTGTATTGTTGTTAAAAAACTCTAAGAGCAGAGACAATCGTTAGATCTAAAAAAGTAAATAGGTAAATACTTCTAAGGGCTTTGGGCAGACTGTTAGGGACTCCATCCTACTCCTGTTAATACCTACAGGAATCTTTGGCTATTGATTTCAGCAGGAGGAGGATTAGGAAACATTAACAGTGTGTTCCACTCTATTGACTGAACATAAAGCCCGTCTACAGCTGATTTTAAATAGCTCTACTTGGAGTCCTATGCTCTGAGCCCTGCAAATGTAGATACGAGGTTCATTATGAGAGATGTACCTTGGTTACAGGTAAGCTTACAGCAGCTATCGCATTAAGTGCAGCTTGGAGCCCACGCACCATGCTAAGAAAGAAATGGATCCTCACGCTCCCAGGTATTTTTGGACTCAGTGTCATCAATAACAACCCTGATTTTTGAATGCTTTCGTTATATTTCATAAGCTATTTTCTAGGCTAAAAGGCTTTGCAGCAATACTTTATAAAAATTTTGTGAGGTGTCAAATACTGCTAACACCTCTTAAAGGAAGGTGACAGACAGAAGCAGTTCTAAGCATAAGAGTAAAATGTACGTGCACATCGTGTACAACATGGAAAACATTGGTCTTTACAGCCCACCTTTCAGCAAGGTTCATTAAGAACCACGGTGCCTTTTAAAACCTTGAAAGGGCATCTCAGAGAAACCAGGAACTCAGAGTTCAGCATTCAGACGCAGAAGATTTAAGAAAAACACCAGTGACGAAGTAACTACGTGAGGACAGGAACAAAGAAACACTGCAACACATTTTTGTGCACCTATATGACGTTTCTTACAGCTCAAACAGAAATCGTTAACACTATGACTGATCCTTAAAGTTTTTGTAGTGGTAGCACGTGGATAGCTGCTCAGACACCACTGTTAGGCATGGCACACGCATGCAACCCAGAAAGACAGCACCAAGATGTTTGGTGAAGATTTCTTTCACTTAAAGAGGCATCTAGCTGCCTCCTGGGAGCCTTAATGCAAGACGAACAGTAATCTTTGGGTTTCCAAAGATTTCTTAGCACATTTACAAAAGAAAAATGCAGTAGAGAAGCACCGAAAAACAACTGACAGTGTTCCAAAGTCCCCACTCCTGAGGATGAAGTAACTGGTCAGTGTTGACACAACACTACAATTATGTCTAGCAGGTTCTCTTAGAGGAGGTGGGTGCTTAAAAACCAGCTGGGTATGTTTGTAACATCTGTGAGGAGCACCACACCATGACAAGTAGCTTAAATGATTCAAACTTCCCCATCACAACTGTGACACAACAGTTTTCATTATAGCACTGAAAACAGCTTTCCTCTTCACAAATAAAAGCTTTAATTTATAAGCCTGTTCTTGCTGGGCATCAGCTGACAGAGACAGCACTTTCTGCCTGAATGTTAATTTCCTCTCAAAGAGATTTGCTTTCAGGGAGACAAACATCTCCCAGGACACACTACAGGCTCTCCTTCCTGGCCATTAACACAAGGTCACATTGAGAAGCCCACAGTATTGTCCTAACTCTTTTTATAGGAGCATTTTCCAAGTATGATGCTTACAAAACGACAGCCTCAGATCCAGCCAGCCTGAACAGGGCCTAGCTGCTTTAAGCTACAGTGCAGCACTTGCTGAGGAAACTCACGAGGGATTTTATCCAACAGTCGCAGAGCACACCGCAAGGTTGCCAATGCAATACCTTCAATTTACACAAAGATTCCTCAAATGTGAAGAAATGATCTCCTGCTGCTGTCAGGGATCAATAGGACACCATGCTGCTGCCTCCATTGTGCTGCCACTCTGTATTTCTCCCTGAGAAGCAGAGCCCAACATGAGCCTCCTGCTGGGCATGGCCTCTTCTGACAACATCATCTGATGCACCAAGGAGCTGCTCTTGCTGTAGAACGTCTGGAAAGCAGCCCCAGGGTGCTTTTAAGTTATTCTTGTCATGAAACTTGCACAGTGACCAAGAAATTCATTAGGAGCTAGTGCCAAAATCAGGGAGAAACAAGTTTATTATTTGGTATCACAATATTTCTTGCTTACAGAATTGGAAACAAGCTCACCTGCACACTCAAATCAGAGCAATTAGCAAGCAAAGATACTGCAATGATGTCCTGCTCTCGTCTTAGAGCACACAAAAGCATCATGCATGCAGCACCAAGGGCAATTTCTGCTTTGGCCGTATCTGAAGGAAGGGGAACCAAGAGCAACCTTGTAACCACAAAGTCTCACTGACTGCTCTGTTTCTGTGCTCCAGGGAGAACAGCAGTTAAGAGAGGGAATATTCTGGGCCCAAGAGGCATCACCCAGATGTACACCAGTTCAGGGGGAGGCTGGGTACTCACTTCCCTTACTCAGACAGGAAGCAGTCTGAAATCTCCAAGCAGTTTGTGGCAAAGCAGGGAGCTGATACTACATCCAGAAGATCACATTAGCTGGGGAAAATACACCTATTAATTCACCTGTGTGCAGACGGGATGTTCTCAGCAGGATGTGGGAGCAGCCCATGCTGGCAAACTCTAACCACCAAGCAGAGAATTCCAGGTGGTCAGCAGTGCATCCCAGGCTTCCTACCTGCCCTGGTTAGCCTGTTCTTGACTAGTACAAGCCTAGCTAGTATTTCATGTTCTGATTTTATCCCTACCTTTTTGACTCAAGCATCCATTTCTAGCCCTTCCCCCTTGGCCTTCCACCTTTTGATTGTCTCTCTATCCACAGGTTTAGGAATAAATCTGTTTTATAAAACTCTACTAGGGGAGCAGCCACAGCATTCCTGTCTGTGTTCTGTAGGAGCTGTGAGCATCCAAGAAGCAGCCAGCTCTCAACAAAGCAAGCTAGAAATCAGTGCTGTGCTCCCACCCTCAGTGAACTACTAATATATATATAATACAGGGAGGGAAGATGGAAGACAACGTAAAGGAAGTTTCACGGGTATTTCACACTTTGTTTTGCTGTTTTATTCTCAACTGGGTGGTGCATCTTGCTATTCCAATGATTTTAAAACCAAACACAATCATAAATAAAATTTTGCAACCTGAATCAAGGCCAGTCAGAGTGGATAATAGCATTAAAGACACAAGAGAGCGTGCATACGCTGGCCTGAAGCCATGGCTGTTTTGAATGTGTTTACAGCTTGTCAGCCTAAGTACTCTAGTTTACTAAGCAGGTTGGCACTGCTTGTTGTATTCAATTACAGCAAACCTGAGATTCACCAGCTCCAAGGATTAGACAAGTTCAGCTCTTCTCGACTCTTTTTAAAGAGCTCAGAGGTTTGTGGTTGTTATTTAAATTAACAGCAATAATTGCTTTATTGCAAATGTTAAAAGAATAGAGATTAAGAATCTAGAAACCACCATGTGTAAGATTTGGCCAAGTGGTTGCTGCCAGAACAGCTTTGTAAAGAAAACCAGTGCTTCAAAGTGGGCGTATGAAAGGCACTTTAACTCTCCAGACCTTCCTTTGGTACAGCGTGTTCATGTTGTGCAATGAACGTGTTCAAAGGAGAGGTTTCCCGTAAGGGCAGCTCAGAATCTCACAGACAAGCTAACACCCTATGAAGGAGAAAAAAACATTCATTTTAATCTTTAAAGTTTAAATATCTCTGAAAGCATCTGCCAAGCAGCCTGGAGGTGTCCTATTGTCTAGGTGATATTAGGCAGGGAAAATTCTGCAGTCAATCCAATCATGCTCCTTGCAGGGGAAGGAGCAGGGACAGGAGCCAACATTCTTTATAACATCAGTATTGATGTGCCAGCTCTCCTCAGGAAGGGCTGTACATCCAGGCAGAGCCCTCCGGCAACACAGAATTGGAGAAGAAAGAGTTGCATCTGCTGGAGATAGTGAGAAAAATGCAGCATTAAATTAAAATAAATAAGTAAATAACAAATATCAAGAGGGAGAAAGGAGAAGGATTTGGAAATGTTGGAGAGCACAGGAAAAGCTGACAACAGAAGTACTAAGCAGAGCTGTAAGACAAGTGATCTCATTTATTAATGTGGATTCAGAGGTCAATTTTTCTGCCCCTCATCCTCCTGTGCTTTCCCAGTTTGTCAGAACTCAACTTCAGGAGGATAAACAGTACACATCCCTTGTATTTCACAAATAAAAAAGTCAGATGAAGCAAAATTTGACTGTTCTGCTCCAGACAGGTCCTGACAGGAAGCTTACATAGACATGCCAGTTTTCATTCCTCTCCATGGTCTGGGGAGCCAGAGCCTGGAACTGTTGTTTTCAACTGGAAAACAACAGAGCAAACAACAAAAGATAGACTCTACATATTTGTATTATTATCTTTTCATTAAAGAACAATTTAACATTGCACAGTATTCAGAGGAGCAGCATTTTAATTTTGTTGAAGCACTTTAAATTTTGATTAAAAAATCAAGGTGCTAAGCATGTTCTTACTAGGAACTAGCTGCTCAGCTTCAGCACTCCTGCTCTCAGGGAGCGATGCATACAAAAACTGGAAAACCATTTTGGTAAAAAATATATTCAATTAAAAAAAAAAATCATCTCTTAATCTCTAGAAGAGTGACTGCTATCATTTTCAGGTGGGAGACTGTCCTGCTCCCATCTCCAGAGCCCAGTAATCTTAAATCCAACCATGTCTTAGAGCCTGTCTTCGTTGGCAAGCTGATCTTTGAAAGGCCTTCTCACCTTTACCCTCTCCATTGCTCTAATCTTTTCCCACACGAGTAGTAGCAATGGGATCCTCAGGACTGAAGCTTCCTATATTCTCTCAGTGCCTTTATCCTCAAACAAACTACCTACCCCAAGCTCTAAACTCTCCTCTAGAGAAGGGTGCTATCGTCTTCCTCTGTCCTACCCTACATAGCTATCCACCTCTTTCTTTGACTTTATGCATAGAACAGAAGCATTCTTGCTCTTTGTACTCTAAGAGTCTGAATTAATACTACCCATTAAACCCTCTGACACCTTCTGGACTTACCAGTTGTGTCTCATTTGGCAAACATTTGTCTTGACGTTTTCCAAAAGCTTCCAGAATTTTTGGAAAGTTCAATAATAATTAACTGTTTGGAAAAAATTATATAGCTTTCAACTTAAATAAACAACTTATATTTATTTTTCCCTTCTCTTCCCTTTTCATCTTTCCCTTGTAGGTTTGCTTCAGAGCAACAAAGTCTGGCAAAAACGCTGGCTTTATGCCAAGACATGCTTCCACATCTCAGCATGAGATTCTGGAAGAGCCAGAAGAGGGGTACAACCTGGACTGCTCAATGCAAACATCTTTTAAGGCCTCCTTACTACAAAAATGATGAGTTGGGATGTTGAGATGCACATCAAAAATGCCCTCATTTACATCCTCCTTCAATGAAAGATAAAACTAAGGATGGCATCCCTCATCACCCTCTTTGGATAGGAGCATATGTTTGAGTGATGGACACAAAGCAAGTGAAATAGAAATACATAAAATGCAGTTGAATTTGTACAGTTTGAATGCAGAGCAGTCAACATCTTTTAGTCTACTTAGATGATGTAAGCAGAAGAGGGAATTGAGAAACTGATCCAAAGCGACAAAGATTGAGAAGAACAGCAGCCTTCTGGAAGTCAGCTTGTGGCCCTCACTTCCTGAACAAAGGACATGAGGTGCTGGGAGTCTGTCACCTCCCAGGCTGAGGAACATAAAGCCCCTCCACATGTAGCTCAGGAGGTATCCTCTTGGTTTCTTTTGGAACAAGACACTGCTTTGTCCCTCTGCATCTTCTCTACGTTGGCTAGGTAACCAAATGGAGGCCAGCCTGCCACGCCACCCAACCGAACACTACAGCCTCTGTCAGAAGACAGAAGCATTTAGTCAGTTGGTAAAAATATATATATATAAATCCCTTTGACATAAGAATATGTCAAAGAACAATGCCCTCAATGTTCAGATATCAATGATCTGATCTCCAAAAGAAAGACTGTTCTGACGAATAAGGCCAATGAACAACATCAGAATGCTGCCGAGTCTGTGATGCTAAATGAATTGGCCATGATCACATTAAAAAAAGTACATCGTTGTTTGCATGCTTTTCATCTGGGTGTCTGACTGAAGTGCTGTTAGCCCTTGGTTGCAAGTGAAATTAAAGGAATTCCTCTTTGAACGCGAAGAACACATTAAAAGTTAGAAGCTGGTTTTGTATAACATCAGACATCTCACATTAAGGACTCAAAATGAGCAGATGCACTTCTTATAATCTCTCTGCCTTCATTACCTGTGATAAGTGGACATGGTATCTTCTTATCTCACAGGACACTGCAGGGATAATTAAGGCCTGCATAGCATTCCAATAGTATTTGGAATTAATGGTCATGTCCAAAGGAAATGAGTACTTGTGTACTCAGAACTAAGTTTAAAACGTCCCACATATACAGAGCAATAAAATACTGAATCCAGTGAGTATTACTTGTTACATGCACTAAATAACACAGAAAAAACTATACAAAAAATAGGGCAATTGTGTAATTGAAATTAATTATAAAGACTCAAGGCTATCTGCACAAGGCAGGACTGCATAGTCAGTAGTTCTTTAACCTTTAAACAACCTTACAAATGTAATATTTTGAGAAAGCAGTATGTATACAACAACTGTCATGTTGCTATATACAGTAACTGTTGATTTCTAGACTCTGGCCATGATAATCTAAATAACTGCAGGCACGTAAGAAGCCAGAAGAAGGGACGACTATACAAGCAAGCTCACAGACGTGTTTTCAGCTAATGAGGTGTAGTGAGGGGAAAAAAAAAAAAGACTTGCATCCTGGTATTTCAGGGGTCTGATCCAACATGGTTTAAATACACTGCAACGAGCAAAGTACATGACACTTAATTTTGTTACTGATGTCTTTTCCACTACAGCTGAAAACATAATTATAGTAAAACTCATCTAACAACTTGTGTCAAAGTTTAACTTGCTTAGGAAATAGCATAGCCATTTATAAACTAATTTCTTCCTCCCTGTTGTGGACCTCCATTCATAGATAGTATTGTCAGTTGTGGACTAACTGCAGCCATGATCAGCTGAAGCAGTTGAAGTTCATTATTTTAAGTTTAATCTGTCTCAGTATCCCTGCATTTTTTGGAAACAATAAAAAAATCTTTTTATAGTCAGAGAGAAGAAAGCAGCTGGTTATAAGTATTACCTTTTTAAAAGGCAGTCTTCTAGTATTGTTAGGACAACACTAAATTATCTACTTTTAAATGCTTATGAGATGATATTCAAATAAATCAAGACTAAGATGAAACATTTGGCTGTTTCTCTTCCAGGCCTCCAGCTACAAACAATGTGACAGTGGGTTCTTTGACTCAGCCATATGATGTCAAATTGCATTTTCCTTTTAACCTAAGAAACATAACCTGAAAATCTCAACCCAATATCAAAATATTCTTGGAGCTTTTGAAATTATTAATGATCATTTCTCCATTCAAAAGGCTCTTGGATATCACAGGAGTTCTCATCCCAAGCAATTAGGAAAACAAGCATCTCAGAGTTAACAGGCTAAAGCAGAAGCAGCTAGCTAGATTCCATACACTATATTCAAATAAAATACAACGATCAACAGTAAATGAACTTGATAATGCTTTAAGAGACCTTGAGGAGAAGAACAAGAACACTTTCAAGCAGTCTTTATAATCTAACATTCATCCTGGGAGAAGCAAGGAAACGCATGATGTGACACTAACCAAGAAAGAATGATAGAAGGATGGATAAAATCAATGCTAAAAGCAATGGTTTGTGGAACTTGTCAAACTCTGGAAATAATTTTGATATAAAATACATAAAACTGTCTGATAAAAGTGTTGATTTACATGTATACTGATACCTGTAAAATACCCCTCATCTTCTCCCATGACACTTTGATTAATAGGACAGAACAATACAAAGTCAACACAAATTAAACAACTTAAATGACAGATTTCAAAGTGTCATTTGCAAATTGAGAATTCAAGGCTGGTTGGCTACACTGTCTTAGAAATAGAGTAGGAAGAAACTAAGAGCTGTTTTTGTGCTACCAAGTATTTTTATGAATGAACTGGGGAAACCAAAAATCTGCAGATGACAAAGATTTTCACAGAAACACCAGTTTGGCATGGAAGTGCCCTGCAATTTTGAAAGCAAAAGGATAAAAACGGCAAACTACAGTTCAAAGGCAAACAGATCAAGATAAATGTAAGAGATTTCTGACTAAAGAGAGCAGTCGATAGCTATTTACCAAAGCAAGTGGCAGATTCTCTATAAGATAAAAAATGCAATACACAACAAAAAAAAAACCATCAAGTTCTAAACAATAGCCATGCCCCTGAAGCAAAAATAATGCAAAATAGCCTGAATGGCCACACAGAAAACACAAATCAAGCTACTCAGTCAATTCTGATAAGATAAAAAGCTCAGAAGAGATTATATGGTTATGCATTTAGTAAACAGTAAAAGTTTTTATGAACATCCATCTCCCACACAAGTCACTCCAGTTTAGAGCTGACAGTGTTAATTCTCCATAATTCCACTTCCATAGAGCAAAAGAAATGGTCTGTATATTCCAGATACCTTATCAAAGCCTTCAAAGTACCCAAAATTAATTAATTTTCCTTGTGTAAGGCAATGACAACCCACATAAACAGACGCACACAATGAACACAGGCCCCCAAATGCACCTATACTTTAGGAAGCTCTGGTCCAGTATCCCCACTTCCAAAACATCTGGTATTTAGAGACCTCTTAGCAGCATTTAAGCATCCCTTTTCTTCAATACATTCAAAGTGTGAAAAAATGAGTTAAAAATGAGTAAAAAAAAATACCCAGAACACTTATTTCTGAAATTTAGCTTGAACATCAGTCAGAAGTCTCAATTTAACATCAAATATACAATATAGTAGCACATGACTGATACTGTATCAACTAACCTGTCTTACCATTCTGGCAGCCCCCCTCCCCCTTAAAGCAGTCTACTCCTTCCAACTTTACAAGGTGTGATTGACCCCAAAAAGGCAGGAAAGAACTCACTGATTTTGTAGATTCCAGAGACCCTGAAGACAGGGTGTCTCTGCTGCCTCGACTCTTGGAACTGAGATGGGGGGAAGACGATGGCGAGTCATCGATGTAGGGCATCATATCATGATGTCGCCTCTGTTCTTCAGCACGGTCTGCATCATACGCATAGCTGGGTGGTGTGCCACTGAATGAAGCATCTGCAAAACACGGGAGAAAAATCTGTCTGGTCAGAGCCAAACTGGATATGAAACAGGCTGGTCAACCACAGCACTGTTGATGTCCCAGCTATTTAGTTTACTGATAAGTAATCACAGAATCAGTGATAGTTAAATACAGATCAAGTGGAAGCATGAATTTAATTAAGCTCATGTCACCAAACATTCATTTTGATCATTTTAAGTCCTAAAAGGCAAAGTCCTTTCTAATATCTAACATTGGTGTTCATGAGATTGCAGCTCTTTCCTCCAAGTTTTGCTTCAAAGTATTAGCATTAAGATAAATACTTGTACAGGCTTCATACAAGTCACACAGTCTGAGTCTATCAATGCAGTGGGCTGGGATAGCAGCCTCTGCTGTTCTTATTTTTCTGTGGAAATGAACAGATGATGCCCCTGAAGGTTTAGCAATCATCAATAATACATAGCTCAGAAAATGAACAGTTGGACTTGGTGATCTTGAAGGTCTTTTTCAATCTAAAAGATTCAGTGGTTCTGTAATTCTCTTCAGACTAGGAACAAGAGGACTAGGAAAGAAAGGTCGTACATGTCAAGTGAACAGGCCTGCTGCCAAAACAAAACTCTAAGAGTCCGTCTTCTATTGGCTGCCTTCCTCCTCCATTCTAATTCCCTAAGCAAATAAACAATCACCCTCCTTCTCTCCAGTACCCCACAAAAATAAAAATAACATGGTTAATTTGATTCTTCACACCACATTTGAATTTTTATGAGGTATCAATGAATTTCTGCAGGAAAAATGAGTAGTAAAATTGATTCTGGTATCTTTTCTACTGTTTCTGCAAAAACCTGTACTGAGGACACACACTGAACAGAACAGCTCCCTGTGCTGTAAGTTAAAAGGTCTTTTACCTCTCTGCACAAATACACACAGAGGATGAACATTTGCTTTCTGCACAGTGCCAAAGAATCACATCCATCATGCCCAAAGGAGGATGGAAGCAACTTTGCATGTTGCTCATACTTCACATGTGAAGCATTTTCACCTGTCAGCGTACAGAAGTGTGAGCAGTGATAGCCATGCCCAGGCCATGGCAGAAATCTGCTGCTTTCAGTTACAAGTCATCCATTTTCACTCTTCTCCCCAAACTGAGGAATAACTCAAGGCAGACAAGCTAGATCCACTTCTGCTGTAGCAGGCAAGCCTTACAGAAGACAAAGCCATAAACAAGGATTTTGTTTGTTTGTTTTTGGTCTTAAAAAGTTCAAAAATTTGCATTAAATTCACACTGGAACTCAACCTTTACTTGTAGAACTAGTTTGTACTTGTTTTCACATATCTAGGTTCTGTAAAAATAATAAGCAGCAGCTGCCAAGCATACTAATAATCCTGTTATACATCACCAAGGCAGGGTGGAGGAGTAACATTTTAAAGCCCACTTTCCTCCTTCACAGTAAACTCAGTTAAAGCATGACTCATGCCAGCAAAGGATGTGAACTTTGTGTGAAACAGAATAAAACTTGATCCATGCGGTTTATTCAGGAGGGAGAGCCAGTCCAGGGAATTTATGCAAACAATATACCAAAAACCTAACAATAAACTCACTGTAGAAGTGAGCCTCTGTCTCAATTTGTAGCAAATACCACCCCGCTAAATAACTGCTGTGTATGTGGCCTTCAGGCTGCTGAGTGACCATGGCAATATTATTTTAACAAGCTCAGAGAGTTTTATGTCACCCACTCTCTCATGGTATTACCTTGTGCTCAGGCCCTCAGTTTCTCAAAGGACTTTTAGATTGTGCAAGACCACAGGAATGGGAATGGGAGAGGAAGGGAAAAAAAGAAAAGAAACAGTACGTATTTGCTGGGGTGGACTTTTATTGAGATGTCAGAGACTTTCCAGATTTTCTTAGTTGTTTAGAACTTATCCTATTAAGTTAATTTGGTAAATGGAGGCTTGAAATAGAGGTGCTAAAGTAAGGATGATCAGGCACAAACAAAAGAGATTTCAGATAAGTTGGATAATGCCCACATATCAGCAAGCCAAACAAATCACAGATCTCATGCTTGAATTGTCAGGAGCCCTTTAGCTAAAAGAATGCAGAAGAGAAGATATCATGGCCTTTGTGTTCCAATTCTCAAACAGGCAAGGAAAGAAATCAACAGGAATAACCTCCACAACGTGCAAGATGACTGGTCTTCTATGTGGTCACAAGGCATGATTAGGGACCATGCTGACTCCAGAAATTAGAATTTTATGTTGAAGACAATCCTTCTTCCTTCCACCTCTACAATATTTATGTCATTAAAAAAATAAAAATAAAAATGTAACACCAGGCAAATTCACTGGAGGAATGCAAATACCTGATTTCCATTGAATTATCCCTCCTGCAGCTTTCTAACCCAAGAAGCCTGAAAAACACTGCTGACAATTTAACACTTGCTTTATCCACAGAGGAACATCAGTACAGGGTGCTTATGTCAGCTTCATGTCTTTGATCAAGGAAGAATTTCTTCAAACTCCTATTCAAACCAGTTTCTCCTGCACACATGCAGTAACAAGACTCATTTGCCGTGCAGAAATGAAAGCAGGAATATTTCTTTACTCCCAGTGCTTGCTTTCTAACTGTATGGTTTGCTCCCTTTCTGTTAATGGAGAAATAAACTCCATATGGTATATATCAGCAGAAAGGCTTGCAGGGAATCACAGTATTTTCACTTTCCTCACTTTCTCCTACTAAGAAGTAGGCTTTGTATTTCTGATTTCCACAACACTTTTTGTCTCCTGCTACACAGGGAAATCATCATTCGAAAGGAAAGGAAGATGGAAGACTTAGGTTAGGAAGAAGAGATTTATTCCCAGCACTGCATAAAAATTCAGTTTACCTTTGCATCATTCACTTTGTCTTTCCATGCATGAAAACGAAAATAAGACCTCTCAGCTAGGAATGAAGAGCCAGCCCATCAGTGTTACAGACTGCCACAAGATACGTGCAGAGAAAGCCCCACACAGAATTTAAAGCTTTGATACTGTATCTGTAGTATCTGTAACACATTCAAAAAGCTTAGAAACAGTTATAATCCCTCTTCTTCCTATTATTGTTTCATACAGCACTGAAATCCACCCATGGAGATTTTTAATTATCTCTGAGGCAGACAGACCTTCTTGCTTTTATTCCGCCATTTATTCCAACAGAAGCAAAGTATTACTCTAGCGAGATACACCAAGCAAGCCCTAACACTAATAACAGAGGTAGGCTCGCATCTCTGTGATTAAAGAGACCGCTGTTGCTAGGGAAACTAGGTTATTTGGATCTCCTACAGGCAGGCACAACTCTGCACAGGCTGTTCAGGCTCTACCTGGCAGCAGAACGACTACAGCAAAGAGATTGGAGCCAGGAGCTCATTGGACATCCCTAGCTGCTCTGGGTGACCCTCCTGTAGATGTAAGCAATCTCAGGGAGCAAAGCACCAGTGTTGCTTTGGGCACAGGGACCTGGCTTAGCCATGTGGCCATTTAACCCCACAGAGGCTTGTCCTCTGCATGAGGACAATGAGCAACAAAATGCTCAAGCTTCCCTCACCAGCAGCAGCTTTTCTCTTTTGGCAGCTTGTAAAAGTCCCTGTCCCCTACCCTCATAAGAAAGTCTGGCAGCTGTGACTGACCAAATGTGCCCTCTCACCACTAAACAGCAGCTATTTCTGCCACTGGCCCTCCAATATTCCCTTACAGTACTCCACTCTGCACCAGCACATCATCATTTGCAATCAACTACTTGGGGGCTACAAAGGTTTTTCATCAGTTTTGCACGCACTCAAACGGTTACTTCCACCTTTTGGTTCTGATGACAGTAACCTTCCTGGCCTTGCTTTGTTCCCATCTTTAGGAACCTGCCCCACATCCTCTTCTTCAGTTATTGCTTCCATCCCCTCACCTCCCCAAGCCTTCATTTCAGTTTGCCGTGCTCAAACTCAACATTCTTTTCTTTTGCTTTTCTGTTCCTTACCTCTTCTAAACTACTCCCTCTTCCTCACAGCATCAAATTTCTCCTGGCTGGGAGAAAAGAGCAACCTAACAAACCTGCAGTTAGCTACAAACTTCCTTACACTCAGTGACTGCGCAGCAGTCTTGTCCTGCTGCCTATCCCCCTCCTGCTGCATTCTTTGAGAGTATGAGACCAAAACAGAGAACTGCCTTGCCAGCACGAAGGGAAAAAGAAACTAACTTCAAAATTAAAAAGACTAGTTGCATCTAATCGTTTGGGCCACACGGTGACTCGAGTGTCATACGTTCACAGCATCACAACATCCATAGCTGCTTGAGAGGCTTAACAGCAGCATGCAGAGAAGCTTCCAAGCTAGCTGTGCCCCAGCTAATCCCACTAAAAGAGCGGCGAAGCCACAGCAGCTCAGACCTGCCTGCCTAAGTAAATACAGAGAATCCTGAAGGGGGTGGGGAAGCCGGTTTATGCCAAAGCCCCACATCACTGTGGCTTCATTGTAAACAGTACCAAGGCTAGCACAAGTTTGCAATGTCTATACTCACTCCAAAAACATTCCTGCAGCTGCACAGCAGAAGAGTGTTAAACCAGTCTGCATGCTCCAGCCGTGCATTTCTATACCAAGGAATGTGCAAGGCCACAGTTTGATAATGCAAAATCTTGGCAGCAAGAAGGGTCTAAGGTTTCCACCACCAAACCATAAACCACAGCATGACCCTTTCCCTTTTATCCCCTCAGTTACACACAGCCCCACACGTGGCTATGGCCCAGATAAAGAACTCAGTCAGCTCAAAGAAAAACATCTTCCACAATTCCCTTCTAAGCTGGATCAGCTCTCTGATCCAGTTCATGGCACAGAAATCCCAACTAAAAGGTTACATAGGCATAGTGGTCACAGGATAGGCATACCTAAAGCTTGTACAGCAGCTGAAAACAATGTATTAGCAAAGCACTGATGGAGGCTTCCTTTAAGCAGAAGTTTGGTCAATTCCTGGATTCTAACATGGCTGCTTTGGGGACAAA